ATCAGAAGTTCAAATATGACTTGCCAAATTACAATGACATACAAACATTCTAAGTTTAGTAATGTGTGAGAAGTGTGATTACCAGTGCCCACCATAAGAACACTTTACAAACAAGCATGTATTCTTTCAGTAAATGGAAAAAAAACAATATTTACAAACGAAAAGAGTTCACCTAAAGACAATTTCGTCAGTAATAACAACAATGGTAATTAAGACTAACACTTATTGAGAATTTCCCGGATATCAGGTCCTCTGCTAAATGTTTTACATATTGAATCCCTACAATCACCATCAAGTAGATACTATTAGCATCCCCGATTCACAGATGAAACACCAGTGGACTTAGAAAATTAATTTAATAATTACTTAAGTGGCAGCATTGGGATCCAAAGCCAGGTGTTTCTGACTACTGCAGATTGTCTTAACTCTGTTAAACAGCCTTCTCTAGAGACAAATATAGGCAGTGCCCACTGAAGCAGCACTGCCCCGAGGAAAGGGTGTCCTTACTCAAAGGAACTTGTCTGGTCCTGTACGTAGCACTATTCCCCTTATAAAAATATGTGACTTTTTAAAGACAACACCTCATCTTTGATTCCATACTCACTGATCAACTTCTGATTTGTTCTGGCTCCCACGTGACTTGCCTTCAGGGAGATGTTGGCCTGGCCAGGGGGACACACATACTCGGGGCTCTTGGCAGTTCCATATCGAATTATAAATTACTAAACTTGTGTCCTGGTTTTACAAGTCTTCCTCCCCATGACATTAGATTTTTAAGCCTGATCACTGGACTGTAGACTGCGCTGATTGCACTATGGTGCTACTACCTCATGAGAGTGACCATGTCTCACCGCCTCCTTTAAATCTCTATAACATATTTTCAATACTGGAGAGAAGCTTTTCTAATTCCTCTTAAATTCCATAAAGACTTTCGCAGCCTCTCTTGAAAAAAATGTTTTGAAACTCAGAATGAATAACAGGCAGAGAATTTCAACAGCTCTGAGAGGCTATTGCTATAACAAACCGCAGTATTTTCCTAAAATAATTCATTTTCCCATTTTTAAAAGTCACTTTATGTAGTTCGAATAGAGTGAATGTAGAAAAAAGTTAGAAAGCTAACTAAATTGGATATAAAGTATATGCACCTTTGTTTTTAATTTCTTTAGTATAAAATCTCAGACATTTGTAAAAATATGAAGGCTTAAAAAAAGAAAAACCAAAACCATATATCCATATACCCAGCTTAATAAAATATTACTGGCATAGTTGAAGCCCCTGAGTATAGCTTTATAATGGTATTATTGTGTGTGGCCCTTATAATTGTCATAGTTGAAGTAAGCAGTATTCAATTAGGAAGAGTAAAGATTTTATTCCCCCCAATTTGGGCCATAGCTAAGCTTATCAGCCAAATCTACACGCTATGACAATTCCAGGTTTGCTTGGTGGGAGAACAGTGAAAGAAACCAACATATCAAAATATTTCTTGGTATGAATCAGACGTGCTATATGCACACAAACTGGAAACAGGTGTTACCCCACTCAGATAGGCCTGATGCCTGGGCCATCTGTTTACATGCTGCCAGAGCAGAGCTTCTGAGAAAAAGTTTGCTATACAAACTTTCTAACCATGACTGTTGTTAAATGTTGGAGATGGTGGAATCATCTCTCCATGAGCAAAATGTTTTCTAGGGACTATGCCTGTTTCCTCTCAAAGCACTCTGCTTTCCTGTTAAAAAAAAAAAAAAATCAGGCTCATACCCACAGCTATATAAAGTCACTTGTTTCCTGAGACTGATAACCTCTAACAAGGAATGGCAACTTCTCTGGACTTCTTGCCTAGCAAAAGGAAAGGAATGCTTGTAGGTTCAGTTCATCCTGTAGTTATTGAGCACATTCCACATCCAATACCCTGAGTACAAAAATAAATAAGCCACAGTTCCTCAAGAAGCTAACTCTCTAGGGGTTGTAGACAGACCTGGTGTATGAGGAAGAAGGTTACAGGAAAAAGAAACCAAATAGGAAAAATTAAAGATGGGTGAAGCAAGCATAAAAAAAAAAAAAAAAAAGAATAAACTGGGTGTGGTGGCATGGGCCTATAATCCCAGTAACCCAGGAGGCAGCTGAGGGCTGGAAGAATCACTTGAGCCCAGAAGTACAGCAGCCTGGACAACATAGTGCTGCCCCATCCATCTCTTAAAAAAAAAAGAATCAATGCAAGCAAGCAGGACTGGTTACTGAGGCCAGATGTTCTGGTTTACTATTTCTTTCTCAAGCTGTTCCATCTCAGTTTCTTTCCAAGGCTCTCTCCTCCTCTATTCCACCCTGAGGGGTCTGCTATGTCCTCTTTCTCCCCTGGACAGCCTCATACTCTCTCCTGGCTTTGATTAACCTAGGCTGATGTTTCCCAAATCTCCTCGTGAACCCATGACCAGCATATCCATCTGTCTGTTCAACTTATCCAATTGGCACCACAAACTCCATGTTTGTTTCCAGACTGAACTAACCACACATTTCTCCTTGCCCCCAATAGATCTGAAATTTCTTTTAGGTTTCCTCTCTCAGCTAAAGCCCCCACCATCTACTGAAAACCTGAGCATTAACCCAGACCCATGCCAATTCTTCCCCAACACTTGGTAAGTATGTCCTGAATCTTCCAACCACTCCTCTCCATCCCCATCCAAATCCAGGTGGCCACTATCCAAACTTGAACTGCTCTTCTCTCATCTTTCCCAGAGGGCTTGCTCTTTGCAAAAAACAATCATATCATACCCATTTAAACCCTTCACTATCTTCTCCACTACCCTCTGGATGAGTCCAAACCCTTTAACAAAAACCCTTGCATTACATGGCTGAGTGTCTTAGTCTTTCCCTCCTGCAATTTGGGCTTCCAACAGACTAGTTGCCTCCTCGTTGTCTTTGGCCTCATGCAGGTGCGTCTGTCAGAATACTGTTTTCTAGCCGCGACAGGATGCCCTTGCCCGCAGCTCAGACATCACTTTCCCTGAGAAGCAATCCCTTAGCTATGCAGCCCTCTGACCTGTAGTACACCCTCAATTTCCCTTATCATAGTATGCATCATGCCTGTTTCCTTCTTGATAACAACACTAGGGAAGCTCCTAGCTTCTATGAGCTTAGCACTTATAGGTCTTCAATACTGAGTGACCCAAAGATTGGATAGTCACCAGGGGCAAAGTTCATCTATTCTTGACTGTTTAAGTAGAACAGCCAGTTTCCCTAACTTTCTTACCCCAAAACCAGGCATCCAAAGGCAAGGAGGTCAGACAACTGACTTGTTTGGAAAAAAAATAAATAAATAAATAAAAAAAAAAGAAAAAAAAAGAAAACAAAGGCAAGGAGGCTCCTAAGTTTAATTACAGCTCTTTCTCCACAGGCCTTACATAGCATTTTAAATTTAAGACATTAGACAACCTGCAGAATGGGAGAAAATATTTGCAAACTACACACCAACAGGGGACTAACATCAGAATTTTCAAGGAAATCAAACAACTCAACAACAAAAAAATCATTAAAAAGTGGTCAAAGGACAAGAACAGACATTTTTCAACAGAAGACATACAAATGGCCAACAAGCATATGAAACAATGCTCAACATCATTAATCAGAGAAATGCAAGTGAAAACCACAATGAGATATCATCTTACACCAGTCTGAATGGCTTTTTTTTTTCCTGAGACAGGGTCTTGCTCAGTCACCTAGGCTGGAATGCACTGACAAGATCATAGCTCACTGCAGCCTCGAACTCCTGGCCTCAAGCGATCTTCCTGCTTCGGTGTCCCAAAGTGTTGGGATTACAGGCAGAAGTGACTGTACCCAGCCAAACTGGCTATTATTAAAAAGCCAAACAATAACAGATGTTGGCAAAGCTGTCAATTAAAAAGAATGCTTATACACTGTTGGTAGGGATATAAATTCTAATATAATTTCTATTGAAAACGGGATGGAGGCCAGGCCTGGTGGCTCAAGCCTGTAATCCTAGCACTCTGAAAGGCCAAGGCGGGCAGATCGTTTGAACTCAGGAGTTCGAGACCAGCCTGAGCAAGAGGAGACCCTGTCACTACTTAAAAAAAAACAGAAAGAAATTAGCTAGACAACTAAAAAAAAAACATATATATATATAAAAATTAGCAGGGCATGGTGGTACCCGCCTGTAGTCCCAGCTACTGGGGAGGCTGAGGCAGTAGGACTGCTCGAACCCAGGAGTCTGAGGTTGCTGTGAGCTAAGTTGACGCCACTCTAGCCTGGGCAACAGAGTGAGACTCTGTGTCAAAAAAAAAAAAAAAGATATTATATGGATGTGTGAGGACTCTACAACTTCTTACCGACTAGATTAGAAGTTTCCCTGGGCAAACCTTTCTATGAGTACTCTAACAAACTGGTTATTAGAGATTATCGCTTCACACACACATTAAATCATGCAACCACTCTGAGAATTAGGCACCACGGTTATCCCCATGATTTAGATGGAGACCTGGGGCTCAGAGATATCAAATAACTTGCCCAAGGTTACACAACCAGTTGGTGAGGAAACCAGAATTCAAACTCAGGCAAGATGTCTCTGGAATCTTGGCCTAGCCTGTGGAAAACAGTCAATGAATTTTAAGTCAATGAATGCTGAAAGAATGAAGTCAATCAACTGTACCAGAAACCAGGATGACCCATTTGGTGTTATCCAATATAACAGAAACTTGGACAACCCAAAGGGCATTCATATATGATTAAGGATTTCAGCTTGGGTGGAATATAAACATGTACAAAACTCAGGCACTGTCAATTCACTTATGTGGCACACCTAAAGGAAGACTTCTTGTTCTGAACTACTGCCTCATGGGGAAGGGACTTGCAAGCTCCGCTCAGACACCACAGTCAGGGACATGCTCTCATGGTCTGGTGGGCTAACACAGCCAGCATGCATTAAAGCGGACAGGAAGCAAGGAATGAAGCCAGGCCAGAGAAGCCCCGCAGTCTTTTTAGCGGCTTACCTCCCGCAGCTCCAGTCTTTGGGCCACAGCCTCTAGGCTCTCCTGGCCAGTGCTCTCCACAGACAGCGTGAACTCCACAAACTCGTTATTGAGCAGCTGGATCCGGGCAACCAGGCAGCTCTTGCTGGACACGGTGTAGCGCCGGGTGCGTTTCAGTTTCAACCCAAATGGCAGTGGCATCTTCTCCCTTCAAGAGTGGAGGCGTAAAGAGGGAAAAGCACCCCACTAATCCAGCGGTGGTGACGCCGGGAGAAATTGATCCTCTCCCAAAGGGACGAACACTGTCCTGTCTCCGGCTGCTCACCCAGCAGCCGCTGCCTCCATCAAAAAGCAACTGAGTCTCCAAAGGCCGGGTGAAGGGAACATCCACGCCAGCGCTGAGGAAAGAGGAATGCTGGTTACATGAGCAATGGTTAACTCTGGGCTTTGCTTTAAAAAAACAAACAAACAAAAAAAAAATCAATCAATCTGTGCCCAAAGAATAAGCTTTCCCTCTCCACTGGAAAAAGGTGGCATTAGCAAGACCTGGGAGGAAGGGTGGAAATTTATCATCAGAGCGATTGTTGGGCCCCGGGTCTGACTCCACCCCTCACTTTATTCTTTAAATAGTGATAACAAAATGCAGCTAATATCAGGTTAAATGAGATAGAGGCCAGCACTGCTATAATCCCAAATTTAGTAGTTAGAATTAGCGGTCCTCTTCCTCTTTTGGATAAAGTGTTGTTTTTCATGGGTAGCCCTTCCGGGCTCCCCAATACTCCAAATGTCAGAGTTCTTAAGTCCTTAAATGAGAAAGTGCAAGGCAACTCCAGTCTTAGGCAAATTAACCCTGAAGGCAAAAGGGAGGAACAATCCCCTGTAATTTATGGCAGCTGTGGGGTTCAAACAAGGGGACATGCTTAACAAGTATTTGTAGAAACTCTTTCTGGTTTCTAAGCATTGACGTCATCAAACTGATTTACTTATAAACATCAGGAAAGCCCCAGCAAATGCTCGTTGTCGAATCATCACCAGAACAAGGGCAATTCTGAAAACCCTGGCATGGGGCTCCTCTCCAGGGGTGGGACGCCCGGCGGTAGACCTACACCTAGGTGGCCAAGTAGAAGAGGCGGACGAGGCCTTAAACTCCATCTGGAGTTAATGAGCGGATGGGATCTAGAAAACCCATGAAGCTACTCCCGTAGTGGAAAACTCAGGCTCCGGCTCCGCGGACGTGTCCTCCCCTAGCCCCCCAGCCGGGTTAGAGCCGGCGGCGTTGCCAGGCCAACAGGTAGTTTGGAAGGCCCCGGAACCCTCCGCTCGCGGCCCCGTTTACAGACGGAAGCGAACGAGGAGGACCCGCCCCTCTGCTCGCGAAGGGAACCTTTAAAGGGGCCAGCTCGAGCCCTACAGGCGGTGGGGATTGGGCGGGCTTTGCGTGATGCCCGATTTGGAGCCGTAGGACCCCAAAATACGCCACTTACAACGATGTGGGCTACGCCTGTTGATGGTAACCTCTGAGCTGTGGCAAATTGGAAGCGAGCGGCAGCTGGGGATTTTTATATCAGTTGGATTTATTTTTCCACTAATGGAACTGACAAACTCTCTCGGATATTTCCAAAGCCCTGGGACAGTTCTCACCTTCTCTCTTCCTCTGCGCAGAGGATGCCCTCGAGGATGAATCGCTTAGCGAGGCCTACTATGAACTTGGACTGGAGACCGCGCGGAGGGACCGGGTCTGCCCTCAACCCTCTTAATCTGGCAGACAGAACCCAGGCCTCAGGTGGAGAAGCGGCTTTCTCAGCTTCCTGCTAGGACGGACTGAGCTGGGAACCAACAGCTGCTCTGTCCACTCTTTTGACTGCGTCTCAGCCCCCAGAGGTGATGGGCAGTCACGGCTAGGGAATGGCAGAGCTATTACCCTAGGCTTTGCCAAACTTAACATTTTGAAATTCCATTCCACAAATGTGTATTGCATCTCTGGGTACAAGGCAGCGTAATGAGCATCGTGAGAAATCCAAGACGAATCCTAAGCCGTTGCTGTCCTTAAGGAGATTACAAGCATGCTATAATTACATACAGAGCTGTATCTCTAATAAGGACCCAACCCACGGTTTTCTCTGGCTGGTTTTTTGTTTGTTTGGGTTTTGATTTGGGGTTTTTAATTTGTTTTTGAGCTCTGGTTATCCTCCGATAGCCAGGAAAACAAGTTAAAAGCAAGGGATAGAAGGCCAGAGGAAAAAACAAAACTAGAACCACCTAAAGCATTGTGCTAATTAACAGCATTTACTAAGTGCTTTCTGGTAAAAGCACCATACTATAGAGGAGTACAGAAAATAAGCATTATAAAAAGATAGGGTCTCCACCTGCAATAGCTTTTGATGCTCTTTGCTGTTTCAGGGGTATAAACAAAATAGTTGAAGCAAGATGAAACAAATAAAGAAATGAGAACCTTAGTCAGCTTTTAACTAGAAAATTACCTGATAAACCGTGTGTAAATTTTAAAAGATTATATAATATCATATATACTAAACACCCTTTCATGAGATGAGGTGATGGATTTCAATTTTATATACAAATCCATGGTAACTGGAAGCAGGTTAAGTAATATAGATGAAGAGACAAGATATTGCATAGATGCAAAGAAAAATATTTGCATTACGGGCTGTTGAAATATGGTAGTCTCTTCACTACATGGAACCATATCTTGAAGGTAATAGATACTACACTATATAACTTAATTATTAACTTACGCTCTGATTAAGCAAACTCAGAGTAAAGCTTTCAATTGTCCCAGAGACTTGAAATGTATTACAGCATCAGGGATAAGGAAAAGTCAACATTTTCTCTTTTATTTTGGTAGATGTTATAATTTAATTGAAAAAGTTGATGTGTATCAGGTGCATTTTTCCCCCAAGATCTATCTATAAGAATGGCTTGCTTTTTGCTTATTTATGTAAAGCCCACTGTGTTAAAAGTAATCTGCTTCATCATTTACAAACTAATAATTTACACATCTTAATTTTCAGTGATGTACAGTATTTGCTGCCAAATGTCATAAAGTTATGAATGTTTGAATATAATATTAAAACCAAGAGGAATAAAAATTTTAGATGCTTCTGAGGTGTCTGTTTCAGGTGTAAACTGATATGCAATGAAAGGAGTTGGATCTGGAATTATAATTTAACTAAACACAATTTATAAATAGCTTTTAACGGAAAAAATCTAGGAGATAATTTCTCTACAATACTTTTGTTATGTAGTAAGAAAACGAATACATCATCAATACAAGTTTACAAAAGGTAATCTGAGCTACTTGTTAATTCGTTTTAACTTTTCCTCTCCACATCCCCTTCCAAAAGTTTCTCAAATACACTTTAACTCTCAATCTTGTTTCCGCCCCCCTTGCTGCTAAGGTCTTCACCACATGTAATTTTGCCAGTGTTGCTTTAAAATTATCACTAAAAGGAGAGAGCATATGGCATTTTTAGAGTAATAGCTGTATCTATAGTGTTAAATCAAACCTATGTTTCACAGGGAAAGAACTGGTGCATAGATACTCGAGAATAAAATGTCCTAGAAACAAAACACAACTACTTTCAGAGTAAAATTACTGTCGTATCACAAACTTAAAAAAAAAAACCTGTCAGCAACTATTAGGCATACAGCGGTTGTCACTTGGAGCACAAGAATGTTTTGAATGTGTTTGTGAGCATACGCTATTATTATAAGGCTCTCTCAGCAAAAAAGAAAATAGGACGAGCATGCCAAGAGCGGCCAATCTAATCAGGATTTGCAGAAATCACAAGTCGGAATTTGCAGATCCAAGAATTCTTTTTTTTCCAGAGTAAACACTCCTTACTCCAAAAACAAAACAAGGCGTTACCAAACAGTCCTTCCCCACGCCCGTTCTCGTCAAAGTTATCCGGCAAATTTCACATTTACATATTCTGAGAGGCACAGATATGCCCAAATCTTTTAAACCCTGACCCAGAATTAAGCCGCAACCATCGGCTGGGGAGTTCCGAATTGAAGTTCGAGACCCCTGTGAGAAATGGCTCAAGCAGATCGCAGCGAACCTGGAGGAGGAAGACCTTTCTCTTTGTTACGCTCCTGCTAAGGGTCTGGTAAGCGCGACCTGTTCTCCGGGCCGGCCGGCGCGCTCCGGGGTCCCGGCGTGCGGACACACCCCACCGCTCTGCTCGGGCGCCCGCCCCGCTCCCGCCGGCCGGGGCCCCGCGCCCTCACCTGCTCCCGCTCCCGCATCCTCGGGGCCGCGCGCCCCGTTCAGCGGCCCGCCTCCCGGGGCCCCGCCGCGCGGCCGCCGCAGCCGCGCCCGCACGCCAGTCCGCGCCGCCGCGCGCTCATGCGGCCCGCATGCCTCACTTCCTGTCTCCCAAAACCCGGCCCGCAGACCATTCCCCCGGGCAGGGTCCGGCGACGGCGAGGGACAAGGCCTGGAGGTGGGACCGGCCGGCGAGGAGCGCCGCACAAAGAGCCCCGCGGGGGCGGGAGGAGGCAGGAAGGCGGACGGACGGACGGACGCGGGACGCGCGGCCGGAGCAGCGGGGCGGCCGGGGCCGGGCGTCCCTCCCCTTGGGCCGGCCGGGCGGGCGGACGGATCCGGGGAGGCGGCGGTGGCCGTGACCTCAGAGAGTTGGAATGCGGGCAGCCGCGCGGGGGAGGCGCGGACAGCTGCGCCCGGCCGCCGGGGAGGGGGCGCGCCGCTGCTTTTTTTAATCGTGTGACCGCTTATTTTAAGAGTTTCCAAATAAAGCAAGGCTTTTAATATTAAATAAAATGGGAGGGGGGTATTGTTTCGGTTCCTGGTACAGGGTTTTATTCCTGTGTTGTTAATAGTGGTCTGTAAGATGCTATTATTGCTGGAGTCATTCGTTTATTCTTGGACATTTATGAAGACATTCAAATATTGTATTTTTCCTTCCGTGCTTCTAAGAGTATACTCCCTAAAACTAGACACTGATCAGTGCTGAGTGGGAAGGCCCCCCCCCCAAAAAATTGTTGATATGCCTTAGGGAAACCCCCCCAAAAAAATTGTTGCTATGCCTTAGAGCTGTATGGACGTACAATACAAAGCTATTAAGGATGGAGACTCAGGTCAATTTGTTTGGGCTCAAATCCTAACTCCAACACTTTCTAGCTGGGTGACCTTGTACAAATGTCTTAACCTCTCTGTGCTTGTTTCCTATAAAACAGGAATAACAATAAGCAGTATCCAATAACTTCCATTAAATATATGTGAAGTGCTTCATTTAATTCTAGGCTGTATTAGAAATATTTATTATACTGTATTATTGTACTGCATTCTTATTATTACAGTATTGTGACACTAAGGAATAAAACTGTGACCCCAACAGCATTACAACAGAATATTTAATATTTACTTGGCAGGTGGTTTGAGTGATCGACTCTATTACAGTGCTGTTGGGGTCACACAGTTTTATTCCTTAATGTTGCAATATTTACTTGGCATGTTGTTTGAGTAATTGGAACAAAGAAGCTTTTAATTTATGTAAATGTTAATTTAAATGATTATATTTTAGTATTGTTTCTGGAAAGCTTTTTTCTAATGTTACATTTCACTTAAATCTCATTTTCTTCAACAATTAACACTTTTAAGTACTTTCTATACCTGAGACTGGTCCCTGCATACAAAGGACTTCTAGTCTAGTGGGTGATAAACACACCTACACACCACACGCACTGTATAAGTGGGGAGCCCTATCAGGGGTATGATGCTATCTGAGAAAGAGGCCCAGCAAAATTCAGCTTAGATCATGTAGGTAAAGGCAAATAAGATTACCTGTGTTCCTAATGGGAAAAAATGATCAATCCTGTTTGTAATTGACATTTCAACTGAACTCTGAGGGGCTCAATTAGTATGTGAGGAACAAAAAGAGATCTGAAAATAAGTCACTTTGTCCTCCCAAGCTAGACAAAGTGAAATTATGTGTACCTCTTCCTTTCTCATCTCCAGCCTATTGTTACGGCCTGCTATTTCCTCCTTTGAAATGTCTCACCAATTCTTTCTTTCTTTTCTGTTCCCTCTGGTACATTCTATATCCAAATCCTCATAATTTTACATCTGGATCATTGCATTAGGGGTGGTCTCCTTGCATCTAGTTGCTCAATTCTTCCTACAGTAACACCGGTCTTACTTCTCTCCTGGGTTTATCACTCCTGGTAGACTCCCAAGGTTAAGCTATTCTGCCTGACCTTTAGGGACTTTCCAAACTGGCCTCTGACCACCCTTAATACTCTCTTCTCTCCAGCATGCACTCTGCCCCCTTTGAGCTGTTGTCCCTGGCCAGCAGCACCGCCTGTCCCCCTTCCATTTGTCTAAGCCTTCTGCTTCTTTCCAAGTCTCAATTTAATACTCTGCTTCCAAGACAACTTTCTAGTTACCTCATTCCACGGTGATGTCCACACTTGGCAAGAACGTTAAAAGTTGTTTCATGAAGGCTTCTTTTATATCTTCTAGAATTCCTAGGACAGTACTGGGCAGAGAGTAGGAACTAAATAAAAACGTGTTAATTGAATCGGGAAGAAAATAAAAGAATTTTAAAAATAGCAAATGACCATAAAACCCAAGAGATATTAGACAACTGAGTTGAACTTCCTCCCTCATAGTCCACAGATGTTATTTACTGACCAAGTACTTAAGCTCTATTTTCCCTCAACCAAGTTAATTTGGTAGTAACATCTCCATGGCAAGGCAGTTAAACAACCCCTTAAAAGTATTAAACGTAAAACTATTATTAGCTTATGTTTCATATGTAAGGAAGTGAGATAATTTATATGGTTCAACCCCCAAAGATACAAAAGGGTATAAGTAATAAATCCCCTTCCAACCCTGCCTACTAGACAGTATAACCTCATTCCTCTATATATATATATATATCTGTATAGAAATATTCTATACAGATATAAGCAACTACATGTATGCATCTTTACCTCTTCTAGTTACCCAGAAGGTGGAATATTATACCTAACTTACACAGTGGAAAGCAATTATTTCCAAAATAGATAAAAATTTAAAAAGCAAGCCTGCACATAAAACGATGAAAGATAAAAAGGTAAAAAGGGACTGAATTGTGGTTTGGGTAGTATATTAATGAGTGTTTTCTTAGAAGTTAAAAAATTAATCTGCTTTGGCTGAGCGCTGGCTCACGCCTGCAATCCTAGCACTCTGGGATGCCGAGGCAGGAGGATTGCTTAAGCTCAGGAGTTCAAGACCCGCCTGAGCAAGAGCAAGACCCTGTCTGTACTAAAAATAGAAAAATTAGTTGGGTGTTGTGTTGTGTGCCTATAGTCCCAGCTACTAGGGAGGCTGAGGCAGGAGGATCACTTGAGCCCAGGAGTTAGCAGTTGCAGTGGGCTATGATGACACAACTGTACTCTAGCCAGGGCAACAGAGAGAGACTCTGTCTAAAAAAAAAAATTAATCTGTTTCATAGCGTGGTGACTATCTACTGTATAAATTATCATTCTCAGCAAGAATCCAAACTGAATGAATGCTCCACCCCACAAAGATCATGATTCCCAGGGTAAGTGGGCTGTGAGGGCCAGAACTAGAAAGGTGAAATCTCCTTTGGTCTCTGAATCCTCACCCTGAGCTCTGTCTACCACACGCAACACCACACCAGGTGCAACACCTTTTCAATTGCCAAAGAGTGAGAATTGTGTGCACAGATTCCCTTGAACATCAGACAAAGGATGATGTTGGCAAAGTATTTGTTCAAATTAACAACAACCAAAAAAAAATAGAGAAGCATGTCAGCTTCAGTAGCAAAAGTGAATGCTGTAAATTGTTAACTAAAAAAAAAAATTAGGTTTATACTTTGGAAAAAGGAGAGCTTTATTTCTCATAAAAGGTAGCAACCTGTTGGGCAGCCATTCCAACAGGTTGGGAAGCTGAGCCAGAAGGTAGGCACAGGTGCTTCAAAGAAGAGACAAAGGGAAACAGGATTTTATAACAAGTGTGCGTGGGTGGGCAAATATACATATTTAACAAGGTATAGGAGAAGTCATGAATATTTATGAAGGGAAACATACACATAATTGTGCTTTATCTCACCCATCCCGTTGTGGTTGGGAACTCAGTTTTAAGGTATTTCTGGGGTACCCTTGGCCAAGAGAGGTCCATTCAGTTAGCAGAGGGCTTAAGATTTTTAGTTCACAAACTGTAGTTCTCAATTCATATAGAGATTTTGATTTAAGTGCAGATATGTCCTGTGATATCACTATGAATGAACACTCATTCATTGATCCCACGTGTATTGGAAGCTAGGTGCTGCAAGAAAAAAGGTGAATGGATGCATACTCCTGTCCTCAAAGACTTACCAGGCAAACAACAGTTGAATATATCATTGTAGTAGGTGAGAACATTTACACATGGATATACTGTATAGTCTAAATGGATCAGTAATGCCTGATTAATCACCATGGTCAATTTCTGTTTGAGTATGTAAGGACAAATGAAAGAGGTTTTTTTGTTGTTTGTTTTTTTTTCAGACAGAGTCTCACTCTGTTGCCCTGGCTAGAGTGCCATGGTGTCAGCCTAGCTCACAGCAACTGCAGACTCCTGGGCTCAAGCAATCCTTCTGCCTCAGCCTCCTGAGTAGCTAGGATTACAGGCATACACCACCATGCCTGGCTAATGTTTTTATATATTTTTAGTTGTCCAGGTAATTCCTTTCAATTTTTAGTAGAAACGGAGTCTCACTCTTGCTCAGGCTGGTCTCGAACTCCTAAGCTCAAAGGATCCACTCTCCTTGGCCTCCCAGAGTGCTAGGATTACAGGCGTGAGCCACTGTGCCCAGCCAATAAAAGGGTTTTTAAAAATAAAGAAGGGAAAAGAAAAGGAAAGCAAGCATTCCAGGATGGAGGAAACTTCTTTCTTCCACCCTCCACCCTCATTTCTATACACACACACACACTCACTCTTGCAAAAGATATGTAACATCCTGCTGAAATGCAGCCCTAAGAAGAGATTGGAGACACCAGAGGGGCCAATGTTAGAGGACTCATGGCTCCATAGAGTCGGGGTTGGTACTCAGGCCTCTTTGACTTTAAAGCCAATGCTCTTTTCAGTCACCTTCTCTTTTTGGAAGACACCCCAGAGCCCTCTTAGCTGGCACTGTGGTTTGTGGAAATCTGGTCTTCATACTATCTCCTGGAGGAAAACATGTCATTCCCCCTGGACCAGAGAACCCTTCCAAGCTGGGGAAAAACTATCATTGTCCAGTTAATCTTTTTTCAGCCTAATACTCCTACTCCCTTTAACAGTTTCCTCAGGACATCACTGTGAACACTCTCCTTGAGATTTGCTATGGTTTATGAAGCTGCAGCTTACAGGGGAACACCTGGAACTCTGTCAGACCACCAAACACCATGGCTTTAGTGGGGTTGCCCTCTCTGTGACCCACACATTGTAACTTCAGAGATCTAAAGGTGTAGAGTTCTCAGGCAGCCTTTTCCACAGTTGCAAACACATTGTCCTAAAAGTTAACCCTTTCTTAAATACATTTTACTGCTTCCCTACTCTGAATACATTCTTATGAAAACATTCTCTATTTTTAATAAAATGTTCTTTCAATATTATCTAAACATTGACTGAGAATTTTGTATCCAGTAATGGTAAAACATGTCTTCATTCTTAATTCTGAAATGGTGGGTAAAGGAAGTGAAATCATTTATCTGTCTTTTGGATTGTGTCCTGAAAGCAGGGACTCTCACTCGGTCTTGCTCATCTTTGTGCTCTGGCTCCTAGCACGGTTATCTGGCTCATTGTAGCCATTTCATTCATAATCAATAAACATAGTGCTGCTATGAGCCAGGCACAGTTCAAAATGCTTTTCATATATCAACTTATTTTATCTTCATAACCCTTTACAGGAAAAACTAGTATCATACCTATGTCACAGATGAGGACACTGAGGCCCAGAGAAGATAAGAAATTTGCCTAAGGTCTCAGAGGGAGTGGCAGAGCCAGGATTCAAACCCATACTTTCTTGCTCCAGGGTCTTTGTTCTCAGTGGCTCTGTTCTGCTGCCTCTCATCAATATTGAATGACTGTATGATAATTGGATTTATCCTTGAGGAATGCTTTTGTAAATTAGGTCTTTAGTTTCCTTTACCCTATACATATTTAATAAGTGCTTACTATGTGTCTAGCATTTGGAAAGAAAATTTGAAGAAATATAAAGACCTACAGAGAGTTTACAATTTTGTTAGGGAAGACATACCCGCACACGCACACGAAATAGCATTACAGAGAGTATATTGTCATGTAATTGCTTCCAGGCCTTTGGCTAAGTGTGGAGAGTATAAAGTCATGCTTGTAGTTCCCATATAGATGCCATAGAAATTCAGAAGGAAGGATTATGAGATTATTAAAGGACCACATGACAGACTCTGGGTAGCCCCATGACTCCTGCTGTTCATACTCTGTATAACCCCCCAGCCCCCCAGTATGGACTGCTTCTAGCTAATGAATATGGCAAAGATGAGAATTTGGGAGTGTGGTTTAGGTGAGAACTCAGGGCCAACGGAAAATTCGGTCACTGTCAGCATAGAGGTGACAACTGAAGTCCTGAGAACAAAAGAGTTGTACAAAGGAGGGAGTTCAGACAAGAGCAGAAAGATGGGGGTTAGTCTTGTGGAAAGGCCACTGGCTGGCCCAGGAAAGGAGAGCCAACCAAACCCAGGAGAACCAGGATAGCTGTACAGCCAGAGAGAGGACTTGATGGATTGGTTCTGTTCTGGATGGTCCCATTTTCCCTCCAAGTGTAATTATAGTGCAACCTCTAGGAGGCAGTCTCTATTTTACAGGTAAGAAAACGGAAGCCTCAAGAGTTGAAATACCTGCACCAATACCATAATACTAGTAAGTAAAGGTTGGATTTGAACTCGGATCTCGCGAAGCCCTGGATCTCCCCGCTACAGATTTAACTCATTCTTATTATCCAAAGGAGAGAAAAATGAGTAAGTAGAGGGCCAGGAAAAGGAAGACCGAAAGCTACCGAGGCTCTGGAGAGGAGAGAAGCCATCCCGCTAGCCCAGCACCCTGTTGCTCTCTTCGCCGCCAGCAGAGGTCGACAGAGCGCGGGTTCCGCGGACCGAGGTGTGCACATGCGCAGGCGCATGCGCACTCACCACAGCGCGCCGGTCCGGCGGGGGCGGGGACACGCGGTGCGCGCGGCCAGGGGCGGAGCGGCGGGAGCAGCGGAGGAGGCGGCGGAGGGCCGGCTGCGGGTTAGGAGGCCCCGGCAGGCTCTGAGTAAACGGAGCGCCACGCTGTGCTGAGCCTGCCGCAGAACCATGGAGATCGGCACCGAGATCAGCCGCAAGATCCGGGTGAGGCCTGCGTCGGTCGGCGCCGGGCAGGGGCTGGAAGCTGGGCCTCGCCAGGCGGGCGGGCGGTTGTCAGGAGTAACGGGGACAGTGGGCCCGGGTGGACGCCGCGGCCTGGCCGCCGCCGGGCGTTCCTCGAAGGGCTGCAGAGCCGGTGACCAGCGCTTCCTCGCCCAGACCGCCTCGGGCCTCAAAGCGCGGCGGGCGAGCGGGGTTGCGGCTGAAGAAATAGCCGCGGGGAAACGGAAGGACGCGTACTGGCCCGGCGAGGGCCACACAGCGCGGCGCAGTGAGCCGCTCAGTCGCCTGCTGGAGGCCGCCGCCGCGGGGGCCGGGAGTTGGGGGGGAGGGGTCGAGGCTCCTCCCCGCCCCCACCCGGTGCGTCTGCAGGGGCGGAAGGTGCAGGCACCGGCAAAGTTGCCCTTGCGCTGCAGTCTGTCTTGTTTTCCTAGAACCGACTTTCTCACCTGCACCTTTGCTTTTTTCCTTTCAGAGTGCCATTAAGGGGAAATTGCAAGAATTAGGAGCTTACGTTGGTAAGTCCTTGTTATTGTTAGCCTTGTAGAACTTGGAATTTGCAGCAAATTGAGTTTTAGTGAGTGCGTTTTTCCCATTGTACTTTAGACATTGGAGAGATCCCTTTCTACTTTCTTTAAATCTGATACTCCTTGTTTACTTCTTTACAGTCTTTTTGCAACCTTATTTCCCCCTCAAATCCCTTTCTACTGTGTTTTGAAATATTTGTTTTTCTCCATTAAGGCTTTGTCATGTTTTCATTATTTGTCTGAATTTTATTTTATGTTTATCCTATTCTCATTACTCTTCTCTTGACCTTTGATTTCAGAACGGTTATTTTGGATGTGAATGTTTGATGATTTCTGGCATATGCCTTTGTAAGGATTCAGTGAGTTTTATTTTCAGATCTCTTTATTTTCTTCCTACTTTTCTCTCTTCCTTGAAACAGTAATATGTTTTTTCTTATTGTTTTATAATTTGAGTGTTTACTTTGGGCCAGGCACTGTGATTAACAGTTGTATATGCATTAACTCATGATAATCCCCTGGAGAACACTGAAAGGTAAGTGGTAATGTTCTCCATTGTACAAACAAGGAAACTGAGGCTTTGCGTACTTTTTTTTTTTTTGGGAAGTAAACAGCGAAGGAAAAGGCTTTGCATACTTGAGCAAGGTTTTATGGATTCAGACCTAGGTCTGTTTGACCCCAAAGCTGATACCTCCTGTAAAAATAATAGCTACCATTCAAGACTGTGGTTTTCAAACTGTGGCAAGGCCCTAAGGGTCTCTGAAGTGAAAACTGTTTTCATATTAATACTAAGAAGGTACTGGCTGTTTTTACTGTGTTGACATTGGATTGTGCAAAAACCCACGGTTGATAAAATTACTGGTACGTTACCCTGAATCAAGATAGTCACACCATACTCTACTGGAAATCATATTCATATCACTCCCCAGTTGCAGTTAAAAAAACTACAAAAGACTTTCACTTAGGAATGTCGTTGATGAAGCAGTAAAAATATTTATTTAAACCCTAGACTTTTTTTTTTTTTTTTTACTTAGAGATAGAGTCTTGTTCTGTAATCCAGACTGAAGTGCAGTTGTGAGATCATAGTTCCCTGCAGCCTCAAACTCCTGGGCTCAAGTGATCCTCCTGTCCCAGCCTCCAGAAGTGTTAGGATTACAGGCATAAGCCATTGTACCTGGCCTAAACTCTGGACTTTTGACTATATCTTTTTAATATTCAATGTGAAGAAATAGATGTGCTCATAAAACATTTCTGCTGCATACTGAAATATGGTTTTAAGGAAAATCATTTCCAAAGAAATCAATTGTGATCTTAACAAATATTCTTTTATATTGTATAATAAAGTATGTCAGCATGTCAGTGATTTGCATAGGTAAGGGAACCAGTATTTTTCAAATAACACATAATACAAAATTATGCATAGATTAAAGACCCTTTATTTATTTATTTTTTTGAGTCAGAGTCTCACTCCGTTGCCAGGGCTAGAGTGCTGAGGCGTCATCCTATCTCACAGCAACATCAAACTCCTGGGCTCAAGTGATCCTCCTGCCTCAGCCTCCCGAGTAGCTGGGACTACAGGCATGCGCCACCATGCCCAGCTAATTTTTTCCATATATATGTATTTTTAGTTGTCCAGATAATTTTTCTATTTTTAGTAGAGATGGAGTCTCGCTCTTGCTCAGGCTGGTTTTGAACTCCTGACCTCGAGCAATCCACCCGCCTTGGCCTCTCAGAGTGCTAGGATTACAGGCGTGAGCCATCACACTGGGCCTGAAGACCCCTTAAAACTGCACGATGGGTTAGTAGACTTTCATGTTAGAGTACAAAAAGGTCATTGAAATAGTTTGAGATTCCATATCACTGCTATTGTTTAAGAAACTTCCACATGTTGAGTTTTGGTGTATTTTCACAGAATATACATATTATTTAAAAAGGTACTCGTTTCTTTTTCAATCGCATATCTGTATGAGATCGAGTTTTCTTTACATTCTCCAATCAGAACATAGCACAACTGATTAAATGCAGAAACAGAAATTAGAATCCAGCTGTCTTTTTGTTTTGTTTTGTTTTTTAAAGATAGCATCTCATTTTGTTGCCTTGGCTAAAATGCAGTGGCATCATCATATCACTGCGACCTCAGACTCCCGGGCTCATGTAATCCTCCTGCCTCAGCCTCCCAACTACTTGGGACTACAGGCATGCACCATGACACCCAGCTAATTTCTCTATTTTTAGCAGAGAGAGGGGATCTAGCTTTTGCTTAAGCTTTTCTCAAACTATTGAGCTAAAGTGATCCTCCCACCTCGGCCTTCCCACAGTGCTGAGAATACAGACGTGAGCCACTGTGCTGCGCCCTAGTTGTCTTTCTTTTAAACTAGATATTACAGAGATGTATTAAAATATAAAACAAGGCCAGTCTTTGCACTAAATTGTGTTGAAAATTTTGTTTTTTTAATAAAAATAATGTTAGGTCAATGTTGGATTTGTTAGCATGTGACAAATGCATTATTATTTTAAAATGAATAAATACTTTAAAATTTTTCAGTTTTAATTTTGAATATAGTAAACAAACCAGAGACCAGGCCTAAGGCCAGTTTGAGAATTGCTAGTTTATGGAGTACCACTTGCTGGGCACGTTTTTTGCATGGTTTATTGTCAAGATTGTTGTAAGACTTTATAGATGAGAAAATTGTGACTCATCGAGAAGATGAAGCTTACCCAGGATTTATTTATTCATTTATTCTTTCAACCTTTAATGGATGCCAGCTGTGAGCAAGGAATTTGTTTTGGCTTAAAAAGAGAAATCACAGAGAACCTGTGAGAACTCTCTTGATGGATTCTTAAGAGGGCCACATAGAGCTGGTCAGTACCAAGCAGATTTAAGATCAAAGAACTCATTCAACCTGAGAAAGCTGCAAGGAAAACAAAATAAAAAGAAAAAAAATAGGATCAGAGAACTCAGGTCTTCTGGTTCTTTGGTGTTTTTTAATGTGAATTCCATAGTAGAAACTTGGTGAGCTAAGGAATGGGTAAGAGTTACTTCTGTTTGCTCCTTTAGACCTACTGAAGTCTATCCTAGAAGTTTACACATTAGTTCAGCTTCTCTACTTCTTTGCTACTTAACTGAAAGTTTCTTATGGGCAGAAACTTCGTGTTTGCTATGTCCTAGTAATCTGACGCCTGATGTTTCATGAATGTTGATTGGGTAAGTGGGTAATTAGGGGCCACCATTGGACTCTTTTTGAGGCCAAGTGCAGTGGCTCACCCTTATAATTCTAGCACTTTGGGAGGCCTAGGTGGGAGGATCACTTGGGGCCAGGAGTTCAAGACCAGCCTTGGCAACATAGTGAGACTCCCCCCTCTAAAAAAAAAAAAAAACCACAGGAGAAGGAAAAAAATTAGCCAGGCATTAGTGGTGCATGCCTACAGTCCCAGCTACTCAGGAGGCTGGGGCAATAGGATTGCTTGAGCCCAGGAGTTCAAGGCTGCAGTGAGCTATGATGATGCCATTGTACGCCAGCCTAGTAACAGCAAGACCCCGACTAAAAAAAAAGTAATAGAAAATAGACTCCATTGGAAAGAAAATAGTATGCATTATTTATGTTTATGATTAGCTACATGATTATATCTATATACATCAGCTGTGTCCCACCTTTTTTGGCACCAGGGGCCAGTTTCATGGAAGACAGTTTTTCCATGGACTGGGGATGGGGGTGGGCTGTCTTGTGCGGGGGTTGTGGTGCGGAGCTGAGCCTGTGATGCACAGCCTGTTTCCTAACAGTCCAGGGACTGGTAACAGGTCATGGACCAGGAGTTGGGGACCACAGAACATCACTGTCTTTCTGAAATGGATGACTTTCTAGCCTCTTTCTTTATGCTAGAAAGAGTCCTGGAACCCTTTAAGGTTATGGAAACAATCCTCCAATAAATATTTGAAAATATATTTTCAGGGCATTGGGTGGGATACAAAGGTGAACAACCCCTTTTTTAAAAAGTGGTTTTTAAAGTCTTCTTTGCACATTTGTTTAAAATGGAGCACTTCAGTGAGAGCAGTTAAAATTTTAGAGGTGTTTTTCATTCACATTTTAGAAATATGAACTTCTAGCAACGTTTATAATTTTTACTGTGTTTTTTTCAGTATGCTGATTTCAAATGAACTTGAGAATTCTGTCAGAATTCTGGTAAATTTATCATGACCACATTAATTTTTCACTAGATTCTTATTTCCCATTGTATGTCCGCTGGGAAAACAACACATGAATTTCTAACAGCTTTGTTGAGAAATAATTGGCATACATTCAATTGCACATTTTTTAAGTCTACAGTTTGTTATAGCTTGATAGGTATATACCCAGGAAACCATCACCACAATCAAGATAATGTTTTCATCACCCCCAAAAATTTCCAGAGGCTCCTTTGTATCTCTCCCCTTACCTTTCCCTGCCCTCACCCTGGGCCCAGGCAACCACTGATCTCATAAAATGTTTTAGAAAATGCAAACTAGTATATAATGACAGAAAGCACAGTCTATTTGTTTATGTCATTGGAGTTATGAGAGAGAGAAGGTATCAAGACTACCAAAAGCATTTCAATTTTTTTATCTGTTGACCTTTTTTGAGTTACCATTGGTGGCCTACAGTAGATCACACATAAAGAAACTACCAAATGAATTTGCTATAATTGCTAGAAAGCAGCGAGAGCCTTTCTGTACTCTACAAAGAGAACAATGAGTGGCTGGCTACTTGTCCTTACTTGACATTCATGCTTCCATCAAATACTCTTATTTCTCTCTTTTGTAGATTGGGCTTTCTCAATATATGTGTGCTTTTCTTAAGTTAGATTTTTTATATTTTTCTTTGAAACAAAACAAATATCTGATAGTACTTCTAAAATGAACTTTTTTTGCCCACGTAGAATATTAACAGTATTTAAGGTATTAAGTCTAAAGGAGTTTTTTTGGGTAGAGATTAGAGTTCCTGATAATGGCTTTTGCTTCCTTATCTTGTTTTATTTTTTCGTTTTAAAAATATTTTCTTTTTTCTTCCTTATTATTGAGGTAGGTTTTTGGCCTTTTTTTTTTTTTTTTGGTCCTAGACCTCATCATCATGATCACTGTGTGGAGTTACTACTGTGAGGATAAAACAGTGAGTTTAGTTGACTTTATCAACCGTTCTTAAAATCAGATTTTTTTAATGATGTAGAGTTTTGGGTGATTTCAGTTTATTTGATGTTGCTGTGAGTTTGTTACCCTGAGTAATTAAAATCTGCCTTAACCCAGGATAAAGATGTTCTCTTGAGAAATGAGTATTATTTTGAAACATTGTAAATAAAACTAAACATTCAGTTATTCTTGAGGAATGGCCATGTACTTTCTGGAAGCTTGTTTGGAATCACAATTGTTAAAAAGATTCAGGGAAGTAATTGCACTCTAAGTTCGATTTTGTAATTTAGAGGTATAGTTTCGTAAGTATTCATCAATTATTCCTAATTCCTATTCTTCAAATAATTGAAATACATGTGAAATGAAGAGAAAAAAATTGAAGCTGAACTTTTGTCCAACATAATTCCAATGGAACTGAGATGCTAATTCTTAGAGCTACATCTATATTTTCAAGTACATCAACTTTAAGTAGAAGAAAATATTGAGGAAACATAAAAAAGTTTTGACATACTTTCCTTTTAAATAGATGAAGAACTTCCTGATTACATTATGGTGATGGTGGCCAACAAGAAAAAGTCAGGACCAAATGACAGAGGACTTTCCCTGTTTCTAGGGAACAACACAATTCGATTCACCGTATGGTATGTTTCTGAATATCTACGCCTCAGACCAAAGTTTGGCACAAGTCACACTAGATATTCTGTCTGGAAAGAGGTTCTCGGTACTCAAATTACAGTCACTTTGGAGAGGTAGTTTGTGTGATGAGCACAGCCTCTGGAGCCAGCCAAGGTTTAATCCTGGCTCTGCAGCCTGCTCAGTTTCTCCATCTGTAAAATGGGAATAGTAGATTACCTTTATAGAATTGTGAGGATTACATGAGCTAATACATGTAAAGTGCTTTCAGGTGTGCCTGGCCCATAGGTGTTTTTAGTATATGTCAGCTGTAATTATGTTTCCTTCCTAAACTTCTACAGCTTATAGTTCCTTACCCCACCTCACCAAAATCAGCTGTATGTGCTTGCATTGAATTGGTTCGTATTTACTTTATCCAGTGAGCTTATACTTCTCATGGGGTAGGGTTTTTTGTTTTTATTTTTTAGCTTTTTAAGTTTTAACTCATGCCTTCATTTGACAAATATGAATCTTAAACGTCTTTAAACTTTGGAATTTTAAAATAGGCAACTTTGTTTCCAAATATATAAATTACTATTATAATTTTGATTGTTCTTTTTCAACCACATATGCCTTCAGTTGAGAATACTGATTAAAAGTTAATGGATTAATTTAAGAAGGCCCAGGCAGGTTTGAGGTAGAGTGAGGGTAGGCAAGGGTAATGATGTGCCTGCATATAGAAGCAGGAAATACTCATGTAAAGGCCCTCAGAGTAGGAACCACCAGTTATAGTGAAAGTTGGTGACAGAGCAAAAGTCAAGTGAGCAAAGGGCCTGCTCAGTTTGCGTGGCCAGAGACTAATAGAGGGTTTAGGAGGCACTAAGGAGGGGGGTGATGCTGGTTAACTCCTTGCCTTTATTACCAGGCGATTGTCTTCAAGGTGTTTTTGCCCAGCAGGCAGCTGTACACTTTACAGCTCTTGTGAACCCTTCTGCACAATTCTCTGGTTTATACTGTATAATTTTGAAGATGATCATTAGAATGAGGTGGTCCTCAGGTGTTATGACACACTCACTGCTTCAGGGTGGCTGACCTAACCCATTTATTACAATTTGTCCCTGAAGCATAGCCAAAAAAAAAAAGATCAAAAAGGTACTTTTGACTGAGTTTTTTCTTTATAGTCTTCAGCAGTCCTGGTATTTATTTGTTCATAGATATTTTTTATGACTTGACCTTAGTACAACTTTGGATCACACTGGGTTGAGTCCACCTAATCTGAATAGGAGAGTGACCTACTAGATCCTTTCTCTGATAACTTGATAGAATACTTTAGACAGATTTCTTAGACTACTTATGGAATCTGAGTTTAACATCAAATTAATTTAATTTTCTCATCTTGCCATAATTCAATTATTTAACATGTACTGATGGAAGGGATGATATGTTCCATATTGGCACTTTGCTTCCTAAGTTAAGATTTATTAACATCAACCTCAATCAGACTATCTTTTTTTTTTTGAGACAGAGTCTCACTTTGTTGCCCAGGCTAGAGTGAGTGCCATGTATCAGCCTAGCTCACAGCAACCTCAATCACCTGGGCTGAAGCGATCCTCCTGCCTCAGCCTCCCAAGTAGCTGGGACTACAGGCATGCGCCACCCATGCCTGGCTAATTTTTTGTATATATATTTAGTTGCACAATTAATTCTTCCTATTTTAGTAGAGACGGGGTCTCGCTCAGGCTGGTTTTGAACTCCTGACCTTGAGCAATGCGGCCCGCTTGGCCTCCAGAGTACTAGGATTATAGGCGTGAGCACCACACCCAGCCGAAAGAGCTATCTTGATTCTTTGGAGCCATGAAATTGCATCCTCGGTGACAGTGGCATGTGACTAGGGTTCTTAGTAAAACATAATGAGATTTCTGGTATTTTGGGAAGTACCACCTCTTGAGAGGAATGCAAGGCAAATTTGCCTTGTATTAATATAAAACTACTAAAATAGGTTATGTTATAGCAAGCTGTGGCCTGTGTTTGCTTATAGCATCACTTTTGAAATAATAGTTATAGTGAAATGGTATAGCATTTTGAAATTATTGGTAACTTTTTGTATATCTCAGAATTGAGTGCTCAAGGAACCATATAAGTAGGTAAAATACACACTGTGCTAAAACAATTATAATAAGCAGTATTATGTGGGTGGGACTTATCTTGTTTTACTGTAGTATATAGAGTCTTTAGGAAATACGGTGATATTTTTGTAGAATAAGACTCTGGTCAGATGTATTTGCCTTAGATTGCAGAGGCTAGAGTTGAAAAAGTGAAGGGAAAAAATATGATTGTTAATTGACTTCTATGATATTCATACAAAGCCTTTTTTAAAATGTGAGATATGAAACTTAATTTAATACTGTTAGATACCACTTACCAATATTTATCTAAATACAGTGTCATCAGATTTAGAGTGGCAGTTCAAATAAAATGTTTCTTCAGGAGGCTTCATTTTTTGTTTTTGATTTGTTTAGGCTTCATGGTGTATTAGAAACTTCGCTCTGTGACAACTGGTAAGATTCATGACGTTTGTTGTGTTTTTGTTTTTGAATTTTTGGGGGGAGGATATTCCTACTTGCTATAGCATATGATTTGTTTCTTCCTAAAGTCTTTTTAATGCCTTGGAAAAAAACTTTCATAACTTTGATAACAGTGTTCATTTGAACTTTTAAGGAAGCACATAATTTTTATGAGTTAAGAGCAGTAATTTTAATATAATTCAAAGATAATTTACGCAGTAAAGTGGGAGCAGTGTGATTTATACTAGGGAAATAATTAATAGATGAGTGCAAAGATTTAGCCTCAAGGATGTTTCAGAATTTTCAATTGAAATTAAAGTCTAGTAATAATGAATAATTTATTATACTATATATGCAATAATCAGCTATTAACCACTTCGGTACGGCGCTCACCGGCGGTGAAACCTTGCCCACAGTCAGCACTCATAGTCCACACGATAGTTTGTGTTGTGCATTGACGACGAATCCATTTTGCTCTTATGTGATGAGGAAACTTTAAAGCACTAAAAACTTGTTTACTTTACAGGGCTTTACTTGTAGCGTAATCAGAATAGGTAACATACATACATGTTTTATTATGTTATTTTTAAATGTTCACAATTTTATTTTGATAAGTGAAAATAGAAAAGTCATGTTTTGTTGTTAACACTAAAGTCAGTGCTCAGCTGTGCACGTTCATCTGTGGCTATCGACTATAGTCGACACTCGTACCGAAGTGGGTTAAAATAATGTGGAAGAATAAATAACATGAGAATATATACAAAAACATCTAGTTTTCAAAACACGTGTATGTATACTCTTCCCTAAAAAGTCACCTTTGAGATAATTGGTGGTTTTTATTTATGTTTTTAAATGTATCACTTGTATCACTTTTGAATTATTGATGAGGGAGGAAAAGATTTAAACTAATAAAGTTGAAGAGGACTGTATTTCTTTTCAGAACCCTCTAGTCTAAAGTCTTCTGATACGAACATCTTTGATAGCAACGTGCCTTCACAAGAGCAATTTCAGTCGGGGAGATGAGAGAAGGCATGAAGCTGCAGTGCCCACCCTTCCCATTTCTAACACTAGACCTGAAAAAAGAAATTCCAGAGTTTCTACAAGTTCACAGGAGCAGAAAACCACTAATGTCAGGTAGAGTCCTGTGTAGACTTGTGAAATTTGATTATTTTATGTGTCAGGTGCTGTTTTCAGCAGTCTTTATTCTTTTTTTTTTTCTTCCAAGGTCCAAGCATTCAGACCTATTTTTTCAGCAATTTTTAGAAATAATGAAATGATCATGAGCAGTTTCTGAATAAAATAATGGATAAAGACCTAAGTATATGATTATATTTTATCTCAAATGTAGTAAATCAAAGTTTAAAGAAAGTATAATTTCAAAGTAGTTTTGAATGAAATACTTAAAGGGTATAGCCACACTTTTTCATTAAAAATTTAAATTTTCTTTTTTTTTTTTTTTTTACAGCTAGTCAAATGAAACAGTGGGAGGGAAGAAGGAACAAAGGAATCTGTAACTGGCTGTGATCAATTATTTGTAAATACCACTGCACTCAGACCAGCCTCATTAAAATTTTTAAGCATTCCTTGAAGATTTGGGTATAATTGCTTTAATTTATTTGTAACATGTTTTGCTCCTTTTTTAAATAGACAGACTTATGATGATGGAGCTGCAACCCGACTAATGTCAACAGTGAAACCTCTGAGGGAACCAGCACCCTCTGAAGATGTGATTGATATTAAGCCAGAACCAGATGATCTCATTGATGAAGACCTCAATTTTGTGCAGGAGAATCCCTTATCTCAGAAAAAACCTACAGTGACACTTACATATGGTTCTTCTCGCCCTTCTATTGAAATTTATCGACCACCTGCAAGTCGAAATGCAGATAGTGGTGTTCATTTAAACAGAATGCAATTTCAACAGCAGCAAAACAGTATTCATGCTGCCAAACAACTTGATATACAAAACAGCCGGGTGTATGAAACAGGACATTTGTGTGAACCAGAAGTGCTTAATAGCTTAGAAGAGACTTATAGCCCCTTCTTTAGAAACAACTCAGAAAAAATGAGTATTGAGGTTTGTATATACTTCTAAATTCTCTCTAGCTAGGCTGAAAATTGGCAGTTCTTAATACCAAATAGTATGTGAAGTAACTAAACATGGATTGCAAATTTATTTTAAACTGATTTCTACTCAGTATAATCCACCAGATTTTCCTCTCCATCACTGGCTCCTAAAGATTGTTCCTATCACATCTGTGTACCTTCTTGGGATTTCCAGCCTTTGAGATAGTTTTAACTTTACATTTTTGCTAATCAATTTTAAATTGATTGTGGTTATTGCCAATAAGCAACCAAGTAACTCCATTTTACTAGTTTTCTTAACTGTGCTATATGAAGCTGTTAATAAAATGAATGTAAAGCTCTAATTTTTGTTGTAGCTAAAGGTTGGCTATTTGAGATAATATTTATATTTTTTCACAAAACAAATACCTTATGAATTCTTGATATGATCAGCTTTTTCTTAACACGCTAACTGCCATGTGAGTTGTATTTAATGCTAGTTTTGGGCACGGGGCCTCTTGAAGCATAAAACTCACACATCTCTTTACCTTGGGAGCCACCTGAAAACAGTAAAAAATAACAAATTTTTCATTAATTTAGAAATGGTTGTTTTGCTTTTGAAGTTTTAATTCTATTTTCATAAAAAAACACTGAACCCAAGGAAAAAATTTTTTTTCTAGTGTGGCAATGTGTTTAAAATGAAACAGTATTTTGTGGTAGAACTTTGTTATTCTTCTGAGATTAGGTAAGCACAAATTTATCTGATTGCAGGACGAAAACTTTCGAAAGAGAAAGTTACCTGTGGTAAGTTCAGTTGTTAAAGTAAAAAAATTTAATCATGATGGAGAAGAGGAGGAGGAAGATGATGATTATGGGTCCCGAACAGGAGGCGTTTCCAGCAGCGTGTCTGTGCCAGCAAAGCCTGAAAGGAGGTAACTGAACATAGCTGTAAATTCATCTTTAACTGCCTGACGAAGTGTCTTGGTTTTCTTGAAGATAATCATGACAATAAAAATGTAATGTAGTAACATGTAAGACTTTTCCATTGGCTTTTGAGACGGACATATTAATGAGATAAATTGTTTAACATTGGAAAGGATTTCTGAGAATGTTAGAATTGAATAAGATGGCGGAGGGTGGGGAACAACATTGATCCAGATTCATTATGATTAAAAAGCTCCAGTCTAGCCGGGTGTGGTAGCTCATGCCTGTAATCCTAGCACTCCGGGAGACTGAGGCGGGCGGATTGTTTGAGCGTAGGAGTTCAAAACCAGCCTGAGCAAGTGCGAGACCCTATCTTTACCAAAAATAGAAAAATTAGCCGGGCATGGTGGCCCCTGCCTGTGGTCCCAGCAACTTAGGAGGCTGAGGTAGAAGGATCACTTGAGCCCAGGAGTTTGAGGTTGCTGTGAGCTAGGCTGACGCCACGGCACTCTAGCCTGGGCTACAGAGTGAGACTCTGTCTCAAAAAAAAAAAGTTCCAGTCCAGTTTCTAAAATTGACAGTGTGTTTAAAACCTAGAGAAGGCTGTAGTAAGGGCATAATGGATGGCTAGTGTTTAAAGAAAAATTTTAAATTTAATAAAAGTAGCTTTCTTTTTTAGACCTTCTCTTCCACCTTCTAAACAAGCTAACAAGAATCTGATTTTGAAGGCTATATCTGAAGCTCAAGAATCTGTAACAAAAACAACTAACTATTCTACAGGTAAATTAAATGTATTATGTTTATATTGGGTAGAAGATTTCTATAAACTCTTGAATAAGCTGAAAATGATTGCTCCCAGATTTGTGGTAAAATAAAGGTGCCTGCCAGACTAAGATGAGGTTCCTCTATAGAAGAATGGTTTGAAATGGAGATTTGACCATCCATCAGTAGAATTTAGTTCTTTGAGCACTATGTAATGCCTTTTATTCCCCTTTATTTGTGAAATATTAACGTATAATAAAAATTTTAAAGGCAGTCTTAATAAAAGTAGAATTTTTGTGTTAATAACATTAGATTCAATGTTAGATATGAATTTATGACATATAAAAGGGAGTAAAACTGGAAGCCAGGCACAATGACTCACACCTATAATTGTAGTACTTTGGGAGGCAAAGGTGGCAAGATCCCATGAGGCCAGGAGTTCAAGACCAGCCTGGGTCTTGAGTGAGACTCTTCTCTACAGATAATCACGCCTGTAATCCTAGCACTCTGGGAGGCCGAGGTGGGAGAGGGAGGGATTGCTCGAGGTCGGGAGTTCAAAACCAGCCTGAGCAAGAGTGAGACCCTGTCTCTACTATAAATAGAAAGAAATTAATTGGCCAACTAAAAATACATAGAAAAAATTAGCCAGGCATGCTGGCGCTTGCCTGTAGTCCCAGCTACTCGGGAGGCTGAGGCAGCAAGATTGCTTGAGCCCATGAGTTTGAGGTTGCTGTGAGCTAGGCTGACGCCACAGCACTCACTCTAGCCTGGGCAACAAAGCAAGACTCTCTCAAAAAAAAAAAAAAATTAGCTGAGCATGATGGCACATGCCTGTAGTCCCAGCTACTCAGGAGGGTATGGCCAGAAGGATCAGGTGAGCCCAAGAGTTTGAGGTTAAAACAAGCAATGATAGTCCCACTGAAATCCAGCCTGGGTGACAGGGTGAGACACTGTCTCTCAAAAAAGAGAATAAAATTAGATAATAAGTGGCTGAAGTTACAGAAATTTGTTTAAAACTAATATATAAACAGATTGGTTTCTTTCACTGGAACCCATTAATAGAATATATGACAGAATTGCCTCATTTGTGATGTTCCTGCCCTAGTCCTACTGGAAGTACTAAATCATTTTATGAAAGAATGTAAAGGTATTACATGTTTTCAAAACAGAAGAGATGAATCAGCTCTAAGCTGATCTTTACGGAAAGTTCATTCTGAAATGCAGACTAAATGATGGGTGTTGTGTTGTCATTAAATTCTGTACTCTGCCTGACCTGCTTTAGCCAGTGTGTAAAATTTGTGTTAAGCTGATGGTAATTACCTACTCTAAAAAGGTTTTTAAATTTTTGCTATGGATTTGATGAATGCTCTTATACCATTGCTTTGCTTGTCCATTCTCTCTTACATCTGTCTCTTTTTGTGCCCTCTGTGAGGTGCAGTAAATTGTTAAACTGTTACCCATCTATTTTGATCCCGATACTCCTCTGTCCTCTTGCTTTTAAGCACTTTCCCTAATTTAACTTGAGCATAAAATTAAACAGATTTTGGTGAATAGAATTAAGGATTATCAGGCAAGGGTCATCACTTGACCTAACAATTTATCTATTTACATTCCCTTTTCTGGTTTATCAGCAATGTTAATTATCTAGAATTATGAGAAATTTAGAGAATTTCTGTGACCTTGAAATGTCCTGGTTTTATAATCTCTAAGTTTTAAGAAAATAGCATTGCAATTTCTCTCTTTGGTTATCTAAATTACAATTTGAAATTGATACAGGATCATGAAGCAGAACCCAAACTGCATTTGGTTAAAAATGAATACATGTATGCTATATTATATTGTGATATATCATATTGATGGCATGTGGCTTAAAATTGTTTATGTACATATAGGTAATAAGTCAGCTATCTCTCTCAGGAATGTTGTAGAGAAAAAAATGAGTGGTATCTATACACTGTTTTGAACTCCTTATATGTTCTAAAGCCAAGGGGACATTTATGTTTAATATGAAATGTTCACTATTGAGTGTTGATGTGTTAATGCATTTGTATTTCCATCTTTTTTGCTTTTATGTTAAAGTCCCACAGAAACAGACACTTCCAGTTGCTCCCAGAACTCGAACTTCTCAGGAAGAATTGCTAGCAGAAGTGGTCCAGGGACAAAACAGAACCCCCAGAATAAGTTCCCCCATTAAAGAAGAGGAAGCAAAAGGAGATAATATAGAAAAAAGTCAAGGTAATAATTTAAATGATATTTTACTCTCTGTTGCACTTTTTTCATTAGGCATTAAATGCTTCCAGTGGATTTTTACAAAATATTAGTTATATTACAAAAAATGTGATGATTCAGAAACACAGAATAAGAAGGTCTGTGAGGAAGATTCATACCTGTATTTTTCAGAAATTTTTAAGTCTTTTATTGTGGACATTTTTAATGTTCTCAAATATGGAAAGACTAGTACAATGAACTCCCATGAACCTAGTCACCCAGCCTTAATAATTATCAGAATTTTACTGGTCTTTAGAAAGTTCCCACTTAAAGATATATGTATTTCTACATTCTTCCTTTCCCATTTTTTGTTGGTCCTACCTCTATTCTCTGGAACTTGCAGTCTTAGTTATCTTTAAATTTCTCCCCTTTCTTAGCATCCTGCCTGTGACCTGCCATATCTGTCCAACTGGCCCTCCTTTATCTCCTTGTGCCTAACATACTATAGTTAGCTTCCAGCTGATCTGTTTTCTTTTTTTCATCTCTCCGTACTACCCAGCTCCGGCACAGTCTCCTGTCCAACTTCCAAAATGTGACTGTCATCATGTAACTCCTTTGTGAGAGTGTCTCCCCTCTTTCTTATTGCCCAGTACTAATGCCATCAGTTTCAACTTACAAAACTCAGTTATGTGGCCCCTGCACCAGCCTAGCCCTTCTCCTTTATTCTCAAACCTTCTGTTCCCTCTGGGAGGCTGAGCCGGGTGGATCATTCAAGCTCAGAAGTTCGAAACCAGCCTGAGCAAGAGTGAGACCCCGTCTCTGCTAATAATAGAAATTAATTGGCCAACTAAAAATATATAGAAAAGATTAGCTAGGCATGGTGGCACATACTTGTAGTCCCAGCTACTCGGGAGGCTGAGGCAGGATTGTTTGAGCCCAGGAGTTTGAGGTTGCTGTGAGCTAGGCTGATGCAGTGGCACTCTAGCCCAGCCAACACAGAGTCTGTGTCGTTCATAAATAAATAAATAAACAAACAAACAAACAAACCACCTGTTCCTTTTGTTCCATTAGGGAAGATTGTCATTTCTTCTGTTTCTCTTTTTCTACTAAGATCTGAATTTTAAAATTCCACCAAAAAAATCTGTATGCTCATCATGTTATTTCTAACATACTTTTCTTGAACCTTGGAATACATTTTTTATTTCTCTTAAATGTGTCCTTTAAATTGTCAGGTTTCATGAAACTTTATGATTTCAAAATTGTGGGTTTCATGAAGCCTTTGTGATTTCATCCTATATTTATTTTCTCATTCTGTCTCTCTTTAAAAAATTTTTGGCTGTATTGTGCAATTTGCCATGTCGGCATTACATACTATTTGATAAATGATGGACTTGAGAACAAGAAAACCCCAGAACAGCCAGTAGTTACTAACTGGAAAGTGTGAATGGGCCAGTTTTAGAAGCGAAACTGGGAGGGATTTTGCAGAGTAGTAGCAGGTGAGGCTAAAGGTCTGAGGGAGTTGGGGGAGTCTTCTCCCCAGCTGATTGAGCCTGAGTTCCCCTCAAAGACAGGAGTCCATGTGAGAGTCCTCCAGTGGAATCAAACTGAGCAGGGAAATAGACAATAGAGATTAGGAAAAAGAATATCAAATAAAAGTGGGGGAGGAAAACAGAGCTAGGAAATCTCAAAGCAGTATGTCACTTTTTTTTTTTTAACATCACAAAGTCAACAGAAGAGGGTCTTCTCTGAAGTTAAAATAGCTATCTGAACCAAACCTCCTAAAATGAAAAACAGAAAAGTACCAAGCTTAAGTCCTATACCAAGTTAAAAAATAAAAGGAAATAATGGGCAAAATAGCATTGTTTCAGGGAAAGCACACAGATATACTAAGAACATATGCTATTTCAAGATTAGCTAGAAGACATTAAGAAAATAATACAAGGCATGAAGAAACAGCATAAAATAGAATTAGAAAAACTGATAGGCGGTGGTAAGAATTAGAAATAAAAGGACATTTATTTAGAAATGAATACTAAAGAAATCAAGAATTAATATGTCCTAATAAAATAAAACATCTTCAGAGAAATTGAAGATGAAAGGGAAAAATGTTTTAAAAATCAAAAAAAGAATTCAAGAGAATAGCAAGTATTGAATATGGGCAGTAGAGATACACAGTGTATTTATAAAAGGAGTCTCTGAAGAAAATACAAGAGAACAAACATTGGGCCGGGCGCGGTGGCTCACGCCTGTAATCCTAGCTCTCTGGGAGGCCGAGGCGGGCGGATTGCTCAAGGTCAGGAGTTCAAAACCAGCCTGAGCAAGAGCGAGACCCCGTCTCTACTATAAATAGAAAGAAATTAATTGGCCAACTGATATGTATATAAAAAATTAGCCGGGCATGGTGGCGCATGCCTGTAGTCCCAGCTACCCGGGAGGCTGAGGCAGAAGGATCGCTTGGGCCCAGGAGTTTGAGGTTGCTGTGAGCTAGGCTGACGCCACGGCACTCACTCTAGCCTGGACAACAAAGCGAGACTCTGTCAAAAAAAAAAAAGAGAACAAACATTATCTTTCAAGAAAAGTAAAAACATATATTTGAAACTACTTTCTGACAGATTACACAGTATACCTGAGAATGTTAACCTAGAACCATGAACACCAAGATGTATGCTACAATCAATGGAATTTTAGGAAGAGAGAGAAATATCAGTAGGGCATCCAGGCAAAAAGAACACATGACTTAGGGGAAAAAAAGAAAGGGAGATTATCATCAGACTTTTCAACAGTATCACTTTATGCCAGAAGAAAATGGGCTAGCATCTTTAGCGTACTGTAGGAAAGAAAATGTAAGCCAATAATTTTATGTCCAGCAAAAGTGACCTTCAAAAAGGGCACCAAGTGTCACCTATATGCAGGAATTCAGAGACTGTTAATCCCATGAACGTTTAAGGAATCTAAAGGAGTATGAGCTTCAGACAAGTAAAACCCTGTTGTCCTGAATTTGCATTGGAAATTTTTATGAACTCACCATTGTATTTTATCTATAAATAAATACATAGGAACTATGACTAACCCATAGTACGGAGCATCCCTCGTTCCCAGATTTTGGTCTTAGAATACTTCTTATTTAGGGAACCAAGCTTCTTGAGAAATGTCTGATTCTAGGTCTAGGGCAGGAAATGTTAAGATAATCCTGGAAAGTCTCAACATCCCAGATAGCAAAGAAGCTATCAGTGAATGGTAGTCATGTTGAAAGGATGCAGGAGCCAGCTTAGGTTCCCATTGGTGAAAGATTGGATTATTTGAACTTCAGTAAGAGAGAGAATTCCTGTGGGTTAAATGCCCATGAAACAGGTTTAAATTCATGATTTTGTAATAATACATTTTTTCGAATGAACCCTAATTGGTCACCTTCTGGAGGATAGCAGATACTAATTCATTGTCTTGAAAACTAGGTAAATAAAATAGATGAGCATTTATTTTGTCTTCTTCTTTTTTTTTTTAATCTCACCTGAGAATATGCTGGAGTTTTTTCTGTATGAAGGTACACTTATCACTGGGTAACCAAATACTACAGGAGTTGGCACCTCTTTTTGTAAATAAAAGTTTACTGGAACCAAACCACACCCATTCATTTATGTGTTACCTATGGTTGTACTACAACCTGAGTTGAATAGTTGCGAAAGATCTTACAACTTGCACAGCCTAAAATAGAAAATATTTGCCAGCCCCTGCTATTAGTAGATGAGAGAAGCATCTTGTTTTAAAATGTTTGAAGTGGTAGAATTAGAATTGTCTTTTCTTAAAGGATAAAACCAGTTGTTTTGTGCTTCCTGATGAAAGAACAAAACACTGCCTTAGTCTTGCCAAAGATTTGAACCTAAGTAATCAAGTCTCCCATCTAACAGTCAGCTTGCCGGAAGTACAGAGGCCAGAGGAGTATGTTGATTGAGCTGCACCATGAGTGTGCAACAGGCAAAATAACAGTCTCAGGGACACTCTCAAAGTCAAACATTCTGAGAATTTGAGATTAAAAGACTTAAAAGACAAAATAAAAGGGACAAGGTTAAGCTATAATGTCTAGGGATGCACACGTGAGTGAAACCACAAAGAACCCATGGGGCACATGGAGAGGCTTGTGGGATGGCTGGTGAAATTCTGTTTCTTGATCTGAATAGTAGTTAGAAGGGTCTTTTGCCTTATAAAAATACATTGAGCTATATGTTTTATGTGGTTTTCTATATTGTTTGTTAAAATTAAAAAGCTGAATTGAAATGGTATCAAGTACCTCTTCTGATGAGGACTCTTAGTATTATTGGATTGATTTGTTCACCAGTGCAAAGTCACACTGCAAGTCACCATTATGAAAGTACTTTACTTCACTGTTTCACAGTTAAGTCTGTGACAGGTTTTTAAAATCTAAATATGCACATGCATTGGCACGAATTGATGTTAGCATCCTCCTTCCCCACCCCCACCACTGTTGGAGTGTCCTCTCATCACTCCAGCATCTTTACTCTTATTAGCATTCCCACCTCACAGTATATATGCTCTTTTTGTCTTGGGTCAATCTGTCACCAGAAGTTTATTTTGCCAGTCTTTTGAAAGACAACAAGAACAGTCTTTTCAAAGAACAATTATTCTGGCTGTATTATTTCTCTTTTGATGTCTTTTTTTTTTTTTTTCCTATTTCATTGATTTCTGCTCTGTTTTGTTTGTTTGTTTTTGAGACAGCATCTCCCTCTGTTGACCAGGCTAGAATGCAGAGGCATCAGCATAAATTACTGCAACCTCAAACTCCTGGGCTCAGGCAAGTCTCCTGCCTCAGCCTCCCTGGTAGCTAGGACTACAGGCGTGTACCATCACAGCTGGCTAATTTTTTAGTTTTTTTGTAGAGACAGGGTCTTACTGTGTTTCCCAGGCTGGTCTCGAACTCCTGGGCTTAAACAGTCCATCAGCCTTGGCCTCCCAAAGTGCTAGGTGTCCTTCCATATTTTTTCTTACTAATGTATCTTTGCCTATCTTCTTTTCAAATGTAAGCATTTAAGGTATAAAAGTGCCACTTTTATTGTATATCACAAGTTTTTGATACATAGTAATTTCATTATCAAAAGATCTTTTATTTCCATTATTATAATTTCCATCATTGACCCATGAGTTATTTGAAAGTATTTTTAATATATAGTATATGGAGGTTTTGTTTTGTCTTTTATCTTTTTTATTATAGAGACCTGACTTTAATTGCATTGTTAGATAATGTGACCTTTATAATGCATATCCTTTGAAAATTGTTAATACTTGTTTAGTGCATGATCTATTTTGTACATCTTCCATGTACATTTTGGAAGAAAGTCAACCCTTAAAGTATTAGAGGATTTAGAATTTGGTGTTCATTAGTAGATAAAGCTCTACTGTTATGTTGCTCAAATTTGACCTTGCTGAGTTTTTGGGTATACTTATCAAAAATTGAACATAGTGTTGAAATTGCCTATTGTGATGACAAATTTATATTAATTTATCTTAATTTTATCAGTTTTTGCTTTATTTTGGGACTATTATATACTATACTAGGTGTATACATATTTGAAATTGTTATATCTTTCCTGTAAATTAAATCATTTATCTTGATCTATGACCCTCTATACCAAAGGATGCTTTTATCTTAAAGTCTTTGTTATCTTAGTAATTGCTTTATATATCTGTTTTCCATGCCTTTGTTTTCAGTTTTCCCTCCTCATACTTTAGGCATATACAGTTGAACCTTGAACAACACAGGTTTGAACTGCCTGGGTCCACTTATAATGTGCATCTTTTTCAATCAATATATTGGAAAATTTTTTAGAGATTTGTGACAATTTGAAAAAATTTGCAGGCGAACTGTGTAGCCTAGAAATATTAAAAAATTAAAAAGGTATGTTATGAATGTATAAGATATATGTATCTGCTGCTCTGACCATTTGCTATCATAAAATATACAAACATCTATTATGAAAAGTTAAAATTTACCAAAACTTACACATCCACCATCAATGGTGCCATTTGCAGTTGAGAAAATGTAAGCAGATGTAAAGATGCAGTATTAAATCATAACTGCATAAAATCTACTGTAACATACCTATGTAATAATTTCATAGGCACCTTCTGTTACTGTTGTGAGCTCAAGTGTCTTGAGTATCTGCTTAAAACGCTGTGTGACACTAATCATTTCCACGTGAGCAGTTTGTCTCCTCAATCACACATTCCAGTAAAAAGTTATCTCACGGTTGTTACATATTTTTCATTGTGGTTAGCACAATATCATAAACCTGAATAACACCATAGGGCCCTTAGAAAGTGCCACTGGTGATGTTAGAAGAGCTCCCAAGAAGCAGAGAAAAGTTACAATATAAGAAAAAGTTGAATTGCTTGTTATATACCAAAGATTGAGGTCTGCAGCTGTGGTCGCTCACAATTTGAAGGTAAATGAATCCAATATAAGGACCATAGTGAAAAAAGAAAAGGAAATTTGTGAAGCCATCACTGTAGCTGCTCTGGCAATAGCAGTACAGTTTTTGGAAAGTCAAAAGTTAAATGGAGATTTTTGACTGCATGGGTCATTGATACCCTTAATCCCCAAGTTGTTCAACTGTGTATCTTTCCTAAATGTCATGAAGATAGATTTTTGGTTTCTAGTCCAATCTGAACTTTCCTTTTATTAGAGAGTTGAGACCATTTTCATTTGTTAGAATTATTGATATAGTTAGACTAGTTTTTTTTCATCATCATTCTGACTTGTGTTTGCCTGGTTTTCTGTTTTTTCTCCTGTTTTGTCCTATTTAAGGTTCATTAATTACTACTATTGTTGATCACCCTCGCTCTACATTTTTTGTAACTAGTTTACAATTTAAACCCTTTATTTCAAATCTTTTAGTGGTTACCACTGAAATTTTACCGTGCAAATTAAATTTAGTATTCTAAAAATTAATATTCTGACCTCATTCCCAGACAATAAAAGGACTTTCAGATACGTTCGAAGAGCTTCAGTGTTTAGCCTGATATACATTATATTTCCAGTGTTAAGTTTGGCCTTTTTTTTAATGCATAAATTAGACACCCAGACAGTGTTTCTTCAGATTTACCTACACATTTATTGTTTTCATTCTTTTATCTCTGAGTGTTATTTGGAGATCATCATTTTCCAAAGTTTTGAAGTATTTTTGAAGTAAATTCTTTAGAAGTTCCTTTGAACTAGTCTGTTGGTGATAAATTTTCCAAGACTTTTTACCTGTGAGTGTTTTTATTTCTTCCTGTTCTTAGGCAGTAGCTTTGCTGACACCCAAATCTAGGTTAACAACAGTTATTTATTTGCTCTCAGCACCTTAATATATTATTCCATTGTCTTCTGGATTCCATTGTTGAGTGAACTTCTGTCATTCTAATTGTCTGTCATTCCTTTGTAGGTGATCTGTCCTTTCTCTCTGGCTGCTTTCAAGAACTTCTCTTTGTCTTTGATCTACAATTTCACTACAGTGTGTCTAGGCGTGGTTTTTCTTTTATTCTGCCTGTTTGGTATAATGTATGAAAAAGACATTTAAAATAAAATATTTTACATTATGAAATATTTGCTCACCATAGAAATTTGGGAAAATAAAAAAATCCATGTAACACCTGCTGATAGATTAGAAAAATAGTATAAAAAGGTTAAAAATTAAAAGCAACATTCCTTGATTCATTCTTCTCCACACATTAGTCACACTCCCCAGAAGCCACCACTTTTAAACGTTTCTGTTTATGACTTCCTTTATTTTTTTTCCATGTCTATAATATGCTCATTCTAATATTTCTTCATTTATCAACTATAGATGGTATCTGTAGATTTCTTGCTATGATATGACAGGCTCTAACTTTACTGCTTCTAAGCTTATAAAATCACTGTTTTTAGTTCATTTACTGGTTACTTTTATTTATAATTTTAAGTAATACACCTAAATACCTATTTCTTGTCTCATTAATTATATTTCAGTACATTTTGGCTCCCCGAATTTGGTATATTTTGACTTCTGAAAGATATAAACATTTGTGTCCTTCAGTTCTTTTTTTTTTTTTTTTGGCCCCCCAAGAGGCAAAGTCTCGCCCTTGTTGCCCAGGGTGGGTGGAGTGCAGTGATGCAGTTGTAGCTCACTGAAGCCTCGAACTCTTGTATTCAAAATGGTCCTCCTCCTACCTTGGCCTCCTAAGTAGCTGGGATTACAGACATGAGCCATTGTGCCCTGCCTTTAGTTCTTTTATCGTCTTCCTTACCCCCATCTTCTACATTCTATCATCTGTACTTTTACCTTTTTTTTTTTTGCCTCATGAATATACTTACTCCTGTACTTTTTGTATTATTGAAGTTGATCACATATTTTTGTTCTGTTTTTTAGTTAAGGCTCTGTAGATTGACTCTAAAAATTGAAGCTTAGTAAATATTTATTACAAAGCCAACTTTACATTTTATTTTTGGTACAATTTTTTGGAGGAATTCTTTAGAAGTTTTTCTTTTTTTCCCCTCTTAAACAGTTTTATGTTTCCCTTGGGTTTTCTTTTTTTATTTTTGCCTCCTTGCATTGCCTCCCTGTACCACAGCCTAAAATTCTATTGTTCTTTGCTTTTGAATATTTGGGCTCCCCTTTTTTCTTAGGTGCCTTCCTCCTGAAGCCCCTCTTCTCCTTTTCTAATCTGAGTGCCTGCTCTAGAGGCCTGCTTCAAGGCCTCGTCCTAGGACGCACTCCTCTCCCAAGTTTGCTCCACATTTCCCGCGTCCCCCTTTGTCTTCTTGGTGGATTTTTCCATCTTGTAATCACATCATGAAGAAACTTTTTACAAAAGATTATGGGAGTTAAATTTTCTGAATGCTTGGAAATCTGAAGCTGTCCTTGTACTTGATTGATAATTTGGCTAGCCATAGAATTCTAAGTTAAAATCATTTTCCTGAAAACTTTGAAGGCAGGATAATGATCTTGAGGCTTCCAGTGTTTATGCTGAGAAGTTGGTTGCCCATCTGATTCTTATTTGTAACGTACCCGAGTTTTTTTCCTCTGGAAATTTTTAGGATTTCTCTGTGTTCTTTGTGTCTGAAATTGCATTGTAATATGTCTAGATGCTAGTTAGTTACTTTTGGGCTGGTTACTTCGTGTACCCTTTTAATTTGAAAATCCATGGCCTTCATTGTGGAAAATTCTCTTGCATTGTTTCTTTAAAAATTTACTCTTCTTGTTTTGGAAATTTTGTTAGTTGGATACTGAGCTCCTACTTTGATCTGTTACATACATTTTGTGTCCTCATTTTTTACTTGATCTTGTTGACCTATTGAAAACTTCCTTGGCTGTATCTTCATTCTCTCTGTTGAACTTTATTTCAGTGTAGGCAAGCATATTTTGAAATTTCCACAAACTATTACTTGTTCCATTTTCCATCCTATTTTGTGGATATCTAAAATTTTTCTGAAAATCCTAATTAGAGGGACTTATATCTTTTTTTAAAAATTCTTTTGTCACCTAATGGTTTCCTTCAGAGCCAGGTTTTACTCTTTGTCTTGTCCTTTCATTTGTGGGATTTTTTTCAACAATGTGTGCAGAAAGTGGTTCCTAGTTAAAGAAAAGACCAGTACTAAGGCTTACTTAGAGTTGTGGCATGGGCTAAGCTTCTCTGCAGGAAGATTTAGCTTTAAATGAAGCAGAGAAGGAGCTGTGATTGGCCTTGCAATTATGGAGCAACTTTCCAGGGGAGTGGATTGGTATGTTTACATTTCCACTAGTTGTCTGGATAATTTGCTCAGGTTGTTTTTTTTTTTTTCTTTTCTTTTAAGAAATGGGTTCTTGCTCTGTCGCCCAGGCTGGAGTGCAGTGGTGGTGCAATTATAGCTCACTGCAGCCTGGGAACTCCTGGGCTCAAGCTATCCTCCTGCCTCAGTGTTCCCAGTAGCTAGGACTACAGGTGTGTGCCACCATACCTGACTAATTGTTTTAATTTTTTGTAGAGACAGGGTCTTGCTGTGTTGCCTAGGCTGGTCTTGAACTACTGGCTTCAAGCTCTCCTCTCACCTAGGCCTTTCAAAGTACTGGGATTACAGGCATGAGCCACTGTGTTCGGGCTTAACAAATTTTTAATTTTGTCTTTTAAATATCTGTAGCAATACCATTCACAAATCTTGTTTTCTGCTTTATATCATTGTTGGTTGCTCATTGCTCTGATCTTTCACAGTTGGATGGCCCTTTGTTTCACCCAAATTCAAGACTTTAAATATCATTTCTACACCGTGGACTCCCACATTATATTTCTAGCCTGAACCTCATCCCTGAATTCTTAATTTCTATTCAGTTGCTTACTTTGCATTTCTTCTTGGGTATATAATCATTTCAAACTTGTCTCAAACCCAGTGAATTTCTTTCTCCACTCTTTTCTTCCTAAAGTCTTCCTCATTTTAATTAATGTCAACTCAACTCTCCCTTTCCAGTTGCTAAGGTAGAAACCAACTGCCTTCTGTCTTTTAAACTTAAGACCATTCTTTCTTTCCTCTCTCTCTCCTTTCCTACCTCAATTTCCTTCCTTTCATCCTCCCACCTGTCAGCTTCTGCCTTCACAATATTTGTACAGTTTACCATCGTTCATCACTGCTGCCTCTGCCTTCCTAGTCTAAGCTACTGTCCATGACTTGCCTTGATTATTGAAGTAGTATCCTTACAAGATCTGTCTGCTTTCAAACTTTCCTTCCTTTAGTCTATCCCACACAGCAGTACAGTGATCCTTTTAAATTGTAAATTAGATCACACTGCTCTCCTCAGAACCTCTGGTAGGTAGTTCCTCAGTATGCTCCCTGGTCTCAGCCCTTACCACCCTCTCCCTCCCTGTGCACTGGCTCCCTGTTCCCCTTGCTGTTCTTAAGACACACTTGGCATGCTTCTCTTTCAGGACATTTGAACAAGAGCATGTCTGAGATGCTTTTGACCTCTCCCTGGAATGTTTTTTTCCAGATGTGCACATCGCTCACTCAAATGTTATCCCTGTGAAGCCTTCCCTAGCCCCATTGCTGTGCTCCCTCCCCACGCCCCTTCCTAAAGCTTTACTTTTCTCCATAACCCTTATCTCCATTGAAAATATATTTTGTTTCTGTAGTTTAGGTCTTTTTATCCAGTCTCAGATCTTTACATAGCAACATGAAATGTTATATTTTAACATATGTTTTTACTATATTTTTGGGGTTTTGAGGTCTAGCTCCTTTCTTTTCAAGCAGAATATAAACTCAACGGGAGTGCATGTGTGGTTCCTGCTGTTACTGAGTGCCTGGCATGTAGTAAGAGCTCAGTAACAATACGTGTTGCCTGAATAAATATGTCATTTTTAACCTGCAGTTTTCCAGGGGCTGCTCCTTTGTGGTTTTCTCTGCTCTGCCTTACAGCCAGTATTTATCCATGGTTTTTTTTGTTTGTTTTTAGATAGAGTCTTGCTCTTTGCCCAGGCTAGAGGGCAGTGGTGTTATCATAGCTCATTGCAATCGCAAACTCCTGGGCTCATTTGATCCTCCTGCCTCAGCCTCCTAAGAAACTGGGACTACAGGTACATGCTACTGTGCCTGGCAAATTTTTTCTATTTTTAGTAGGGACAGGGTCTCTCTCTTACACAGCCTGGTCTGAAACTCCTGAGCTCATATGATCCTCCTTTCTCAGCCTCCCAGAGTGTTAGCATTACAGGTGTGAGCCATCACACCTGGCCTGTCCATATATTTTTTATTTTCCAGAGATCATTGAAATCTCACCAGGTATAATCCCCTTCCCAACCCCAAATTTCTAAGTCAATGATCTCCATATTTTTGACCATATAATATTTTGTATAATAATCATTTTTGAATATGTAAAATTATATTAATATATTTTTTATTTATGTACATGTGCTGTTATTGGTATGTACATTAAATAACATAAAAATAGAATCCAACAATGATAGGATAGAGATATAAGTATTTCTAATATAATGGAATTTCTGGTATTTTCTTCCTGCACCTCAGTGAATAATTTAGAAATTCAATTTGACGACTACTGTTGTATGTTAAGATATATGCTCTTTTAAAGTTCTTTACTTCGTTATTACAGACTTTCCAGTAGAGACTGTAAATGCATAATCTCTGTATTATGTTGGAACAGAAACACCGTGAAAGATTCTTAGTAAAGAAGCATTTATATTCAGAGACAATGAGGACGATCCCCGTCCTTTGTTCTGCCCACTGCCTTCTTTGGAGGGTAGCATTTTTGTATAAAGTAGAAATTATATGATTATTTATATGCACACACACGGCATGTAAAATAGGAATTATACCACATGGAGTTCTCTGCTATATGTTTTATTCCACTTAACGTATCACAGGGGGAGGTATAATAACATAGTGATCATAAATATGGTCCTGGAGGGAGCTAGACTATCTAAAGCATTAATTGAGGCCCTGCCCCTTAGTAGCTGACCTTAACCTTTCTTTGCCCCTGTTTCCTAATCTATAACAATAGATTATAGATTAAGCAATAATTGTAGCACTTACAGCAAAGTTATTATAAGGAGTAAATGCTAAAAAGTAGGTAAACTTTCTCGGAGGATGGATATTTACATTGGAGTCTCTGAAAGAGTCTTTGTTTATGTTGGGCTGGGCACAATGAGAATTGCAGGATGTATCAAATGTGCTCTTTTTATGTATCTTGATGCCTCTCTCAGACCCCTTTCCTGCTTTTCTCATGGAGGTTGTTTGCTGCCCTCTAGTGAACTAACTGGTTTGCAGGTGGTGCTTGGTGGAGGATGTGCTATTCTTAATGTTATTACTATAGTTGTCAGCTGGTGCTCTTGGAAAAATTCTGTGTGAATCTAAACCCTTATTTTGCAATTTTACAGAGTGTTTTCTGTCTACAAATTAGAAAAATTATAGATGCAGTGGAGAAAAATAAAGATTCTTATATAAATTCTAGCACTTAGCTTTTTCTTTATTCTGTTATTGTCAGTGACATCTATTTGACTAAGAAATCAAAGGCTACAGTTCTAAGAATTCTTTTGAAGAGGACGTGGTGAGTGGTGTCCACCAACTTGCATCCTTATATGTTGCACAGCTTATTTGTTGCTTGGGGAGCAAACCAAAGTAAAAACAGCCTTTCTCAAACTAAAACCATGGAAGGATCTTCCATATTAATGGTTGGGAAGACTTTAATATTGTTAAGGTGGCAGTTGTCCCCAAATTGATCTACAGATTCAATTCAATTTCTATTGAAACCCCAGATTGCTATTTTGTAGAAATGGGCAAGCTGATCCTAAAATTTATATAGAAATAAAAAGGGATCCAGAATAGCCAAAACTATTGAGAAATAGTAATGTTGAAAGGGTTATGTTTCTTGATTTCAAAACTTACCACAAAGCTATAATAATCAAGAGGTTGTGGTACTGTTACATGGATGGGTATGTATACCAATGGAACAGAATTGAGAGTCTAGAAATGAACTCATATGTTTATGACTAACTGATTTTTGACAAGGGTGCTAAGACAGTTTAATGGAGAAAGAATAATAGTCTTTTCAACAAATGGTGCCGGGACAACTGGATATCCTGCAAGGAATGAAGTTGGACCCTTATGTCATAATATATAAAAATTAACTCAAAATGGATCAAAGACCTAAATATAAGAGCTAAAACTAAAAAATTCTTAGGAAAAAAATATGTGTAAATCTACATGACCTCGGATTAGGGAATGGTTTCCTAGATATTACACGGAAAGCATAAGCAATCAAAGAAAAAACAAGTAAGTTGCACTTCGTGAAAATTAAAAACTGTGTTTCAAAGGATACTATCATAAAAGAAAAAAGACAACCCACAGAATGGGAGAACGTATTTCAGATCACATCAGTAATGGCCTAGCATCAAAACAAGGCTGAGTTCTCATTTCCCATTCCTTAAATTCATACCTTAAATTCGCATATTGGTGCAGTTGAATTTCATTATTACCACATACATTTTTAACGAAATGTGTCTGTGATCATAGGTCTAATCACCTTCCCAGCCCTCTCCCTGCAAAGGAAATGCTAACACTGTGATCTATTTTCAAGGGGAAATGAACCTCAAAGTACAGTAAAACAATTCAGTAGTAATCTGAAGCTTGAAAGTTAGTTCAATTGATGAAAAGAGAAACATGCATTGAATTCATATCACTGACAAGTAAAGTACTTAATGATACTGTTGCTTGGTTTATGGTGCAGCTCCTCAGTGCTCTTGTCATATGAAGTAAATAATAGAAAATTCTTTGTATGTCACATGTCTGTTTTCAGCCAATCAGAAATCAGGATTGTTTTGTATGTAATAATAGGGTTTATTTGGAGAGCAGTTGTAAGTAGGACTCACAGGATACGGGGGCTACATATTACGGCTTCTTTGTTGTAGTGAAGACATAATTGGTCTGGTGTGTTTAGCATTTTTAAATTTAGTTTTGAGTTTTGACTCTAGAAATGTACAACCCTATCTTTTCAATTATAGGTTATCAGATGTTATTCACTCTTAATACTTCTTAAGGTAGCAGCATTGATCACTGCTTTTACTTTTGATGAAACAATTTAATGGGCTGTGAAGGAAAAATTACCAGATATTAAGGGAGAGAGAATTTTATGAAAATGTCTTCGAGGTTTCCGTCACCGTCTCTACCAATTTTCCTTTCACCGGAGCCAGTTGATGTAGGTTCTATAGCAAGTTCCTCTTCACTGAATGAGCTGGACAATATTTCCCACCTTTTAAGGAAGATATCAACAGATATCAATGAAATTAAAGGAATGAAAGCAGCAATTTTGACAGTGGAAGCAAATCTTTTTGATCTAAATGTTAGAGTGTCACAGAATGAAGCAAAAATTTCATCTTTGGAAGTTAAAATGAATGAATATTCAACATCAACATCTGAATGCAACAGACAGTTTGAAGATCTTCAGGAAGAAGTAGATTTTGAATCACAGTCAAGGGCTACTGATGTAAAAATAATTGGCTTCCTTAGAAACATTGAGAAAGGTAAACCTACAGTGTCTTGTAGGTGCCCATCCTTTGATCTTGGTCTTCCCATGTATCTTAACTCTGTAGCTCTTATATGGAGGGAGCAAGTCATAGAGAACTTGAATTTTTCATAGACCTTTAATGACAAATTTGGATCTACATAATTTGAATTTAGAAGCCCATAATTTCTCGGAATTTCATCCTCTTTAGTAGAGCTCTCTAAAATAATGTATTGAAATGTATAGAGAGATGAAGCTTGAAATGTGAGAGAATGATCCTCTTGTATGTATCTGTCTGCCTGAGATTATTTTAAAATGTGTAATTCTTTCATTTGCTGTTTATGTTAAAGGGACCTGTTATAGTATTTGAACCTGGTGTTTGGATTGGAAGAACATTCTTTCTGTAACCTGTAACATGTCAGTTTTCCAAACTTTCCCACAAGAATACAACTTGACCTAAATGACACTGGGGTTGCAGGTCTGTTCCTCAGGATTTGTGTTTTTGCCATGATAATTTTGGAAGGAATTCACTTTTTTGGACACGCTGAAGAGTAATGAAATATAACTTATGTTTTAAAGGAAAATAGCTGTTAAGATTTCAAATTGAATATAGCTTTTAAAATTTAGAAATACTTTTTAATCAAACTTGGTACTTGGTGAGAGATTGCCCATTCACATGTTTGCACCGAGGAAACAGAGCCTCTCCTTGTGAAACTACCTGTAAGAGGTGTACTAAAAGTTAACATGTAGGCATCTTACTAATGTTTCACTGTTTGGAACCCTACTAATTACATCTCTTTGTATGCCATAGTGCAACAAACACTTTCTTGTAAGTGAGCAAATGCCTGATAGCTGCTAAGCATTGGAGGGGAAGGTACAGAGAAGTATAACATCCTTCCCTTCTCAAGGAGCTTACCATCAAATTGAAGATAGGGGAAATCAGCTCTTTGTCACTGTTTTGTCCAGTATGGTTTTTAGGAATATTATTAGAAATTAATATTAAGAACTATTTAAGAAGTAATACTCTAGTTGAGCAACTCTCTCTTTCTTTTTTTTTTTTCTTTAAAGACAGGATCTTGCTCTGTTGCCCAGGCTGGGAGTGCAGTGCATCATAGCTCACTGCACCTTCAAACTCCTGGGCTCAAGTGATCCTCCTGCCTCAGCCTCCCAAGTAGCTGGGACTATAGCCATGTACCACCACACCTGGCTAATTTTTTAATTTTTTGTAGAGACAACGCCTCATTATGTTGCTCAGGCTGGTCTTGAACTCCTGACCTCAAGTGATCCTCTCGCCTCGGCCTCCCAAAGTGCTGGGATTACAGGTGTGATCCTTTCTTATGGGAGATCCAAACAATTATTGTCATGCTTTGCTGACATAGGGCCTGGGTTGCTGAGCTGAGTATCGTACTTATTTGTTGTGTTCTTTGCATCCATCCAAACCTGTTGTTTGTCTTTTAAAAACTTCATGATCAGACAATTCTCTAGTGCTTTGTTTTGTAATTCCAATGGGTTTTGTTATCTTCAAAGATTATGGACAAAGGAGTGAGGTGTAATGATAAGAGCCCAGGTGATGGAGAGGGTGCTTACCATGTTTTTGTGCAGTTAGCTGTTACATGAGCTGCTGGTCACAAGGCAGCCCCCCTGGCTTTTCCATGCTTTTACCTTTACTTCCAATCCAAGAAAACTGGCTTTCTCACAGAGGGAGAACCAGGAGTGTCCTACATAGCAGTTTTTGGTTTAACCCTGAGTATAGCCTTTGTCTTACAGGATATATCTTTGGTCTGTAAATATCACTAAATTACATTGTTGAAGATTTAAGTAAGACTTTCAATTAAGAACTTGGACGAATTTCTGGGAATACATGCTGATATTGTTAGTATTTTAAGCTTAGTGAAGTTTTTAAATTTATGTTCTAGGAACTCAACAGAGGCAGTTATTATCCCGACTGCAAATTGACCCAGTAATGGCAGAAACTCTGCAGATCAGTCAAGGTTGGTAATATTTAAATTTTCACAGTCATCTAGCAATTTTCAGTTCTATTTCCATTCCTTACCCATCATTTAATGTATCTTGTAACTCTTAGATCCTGCCCTAACATACCATATTTAGATCTGTGAAAATATTTTAGGGCTAGGAGATAAGATCTACATTTTCTTCATGTTATATGGTATTTTTCTTTTTTGCCTCATTCATAAATTTTCTTCCTATCATGCCATTCCACCAGGGTCCCTGGTACATACTGGCTGCTCAGTCTCCTGTTGTCAAGGATGGCTTGAGCCACTCACCTACTCTTCCTCTCTATCCAGCTTTTGCCTTCGCCCTGGGCTGCTTTAGGATCCTGTTTTGCCTGTTCAACCTTATCCTCACATTTACTTCACTTTAGAATCTTATCACTAGGGCTACACCTAGATTTGTTGTTCTAGAGCTACAGTTATTTAATTGCTTACTATCTTACCTGTCTACCCTCCTCCTGCACACCACCTCCAACCCCTCTGCCACACACACACACACACACAGTGCAGGAGCTACTTCAGGACTGGGGCTGGTGCCTTATCTCTGTCCTCAGTGCCCAGCCCCTGCCAGGTGCATGTTCAGGGCCTACAGAATGACTGCTGGGTAAATGCAGGGAACCACTAGTACCCAAAATCTTCTTTTCTCTTTCCTTGTGTTTCCCCTGTGTCTGCCCCTGGTTGGAAGCTCTGGTCCCTTGACCCTTTTCTATGAGCCTCTTCCTGAATTTTCTTTGTCTTCCATCAGGACTTATAAGTGGGTGAATGTATTCCCTGAGCTTCCCCCAGTTTTCTGTCTCAGAAAGATGTGCGTTTCCTCTCTGAGGGTTAGCCTCCACCCAGATGCCAGATTCCACCCAGTTGATGAACGTTATCATGTCGTCATACTCCTTCAGCTTTAGTCCCTGCTTTCTCCCTCTGCGTGTGGAAATGTTCAGATATTCTCCATCCTTGATGCTGCCTCTCATCTCCCAACATTCCATCCTGCTTTCTACATAAGAGTATTTTCTTTTAAAACGTTCCTGTAGCCCAGGTCTGTATGTCATATCTAATTCAGCTCTTGTGCATTCTTTCAATTTTGTTTCCTTTAGTTTTCCTTTTTATCCATGGAACACCTACAGTGTGAAGCCTCAATAAGGCTTACAATGACAGTCTTTAACTTACCTCCTGCCACATCTTCATTTTCAAGAGAGCTTTTCTTTCTGCATATTCCATTTTCCTTTTTTTAACATACTGATCATGTTTCATGTATGCAATACTTTTTCTTATTTCTCTGAGGATATTGAAGGTTGTTTTGACATTCCCTTCCCCCTTCTTGGTCTTGTTTTCTCTAAGTTGTTTTTTTTGGACTATCTTTTATGCTGGAAGTTTTCCTCAGATGTTTGGGGGATCCTTGGTTGTCTTATATTTAAGATTGGGGCACTAAAAATCTCATTGGTTCTGTGGCTTCATGAATTGGGGCACGGTGGGCTTTTGATTTCATATTTGAGCGTAGATCCCGTGGTGGAGAGTGATTTGTCCTGCCTGTCTAGTTTGGAGGCACTTGACATGTCAGTCCCTTTAGGCCTTTCTCTCAGATTGGTCACCTTTTCCAAAGAAAGATCTTTCAAGTAATAGCCTGCTTGCCAGAGTTCTGGGTGCTAAATGGGGAAAGAAGACTGGGGGAAGCACCTCAGTGTTAATTATTATGTGATGTTTACTTAACCACTCCCCTTCCCATACTCACTACAGTACTGCTTTCAGTATGGCTAGCATCCCTTGGTCCACACAGATCCTCTGCTCTTCTCGAGTCTAAAGTTTCATTTCCTCCAAGGGAGAATCTATGAAACGGGTAAAAATTAACAGGAAATCTGTCTTTAAAAAAAAAGTTTAGTAGTATATATTTAGGTTATTTTGTTTTAGTGTCTTTGCAACAGAGATCATCCATAGCCTCTCCAGCCATAATCAACAGGAAAGCATCCAGGCATCCCGTGTGTCTTCAGTACAGAGGGATCGGGGATAGGATTGGTGAGGACCAAAACAAAACAGATAAATAGAATTAGAGTTTAGGAACAACTAATTGCTCCTTAAATGGACACTCTAACACACCTCTTTTTTGCTTTGTCTTCTCTGCCATTTCTTCCCAAGGTCCCCTTTGCTGCCTTTGGAGAATTTAGATCTAAATTGTATTGTTTCATTATTGGCTTAGAATTTAGCTTTTGCAGATATCTACTGAGTTAGTTCCTACTCATCTGTTTTCTACTTTCAAAATGTGACTGTTTCTCCTACAGTTTATTTCCTTTATGGGTTTATTGCTTTTATTTTTAAAAAAAATGTTTTTTGATATTTTTAATGGGCTTTTAGGATGGAACAAAAAATAAAGGCATGGATTCAGCTTCTTGTCTCCACCCAGAAGATGTCACTCACTTTCTGTCTGGCTTCCATGTGACTCAGGCTGCTAAAGCTTGCAGAGGTGACCAGTAACTTGTGTAGAATGGAAAGCTCTGTTTTCGGTGCACACTTTCCCAAACTTTGTAGCATATGACACTTGTGTTCCCATGTTTTCTTCACTCTTTGGGCCTTTGGCTTCTAGGACTTCACTCTCTCTTTAGTCTTCTCATTCTCGTTCATTCTTCTTTATCAGCTTGTCTCCTCCGCTGCCCCTTAAAATGTTAACTTGACCCTGTGTCCTGCCTTCAGCATTATTTCATCTCTTATATTCTCCCAAGATGTGAACTAGTAAAACCGCTTCACCTCAGAAAGTGCAGGTTGGTGGAAAGGAATGCAGCAGCCCTTGGGCCACAATTCTGGGCCTCAGTTTCGCTAGCCATGAGACTTCAGTGATCATTTAAGAACTTGAAGCTATAAATTGGTCATTTATAACATGGGAGGAAAACTCTACTTCATAGGCTTCGAGTGAGGATTCAGTGAGAGATGACAGCCCTGAATACGTACAATTCAACACTCTTATTTCACCTTCAGTTTTTTTTTTTTTTTTTTGAGACAGAGTCTCACTTTGTTGCCCAGGCTAGAGTGAGTGCCGTGGCGTCAGCCTGGCTCATAGCAACCTCAATCTCCTGGGCTCAGCGATCCTACTGCCTCAGCCTCCCGAGTAGCTGGGACTACAGGCATGCGCCACCATGCCCGGCTAATTTTTTGTATATATATTTTTAGTTGGTCAATTAATTTATTTCTATTTTTAGTAGAGACGGGGTCTCGCTCAGGCTGGTTTCGAACTCCTGACCTTGAGCAATCCGCCCGCCTCGGCCTCCCAAAGTGCTAGGATTACAGGCGTGAGCCACCACGCCCGGCCTCACCTTCAGTTTTGACTCTGCGTCTCATTTCTCTCCCCCTCCTGAGGGTCAAATCTGACTTTATAGCTTCGTTCTAAACACAACAGCCCCACAAAGACTTCACACTATATAAATTGAACATTGGAATTTATCTTTGCCCTCTTTTTAACTCTGCTCTTTCTCCTTTCCTGTGTTTCCCATCTCGACTTTCTCCACTTCTGTCTCCCTTTCCTGTCTGTGCACCTTTGCTGGGGAAGGTGGAACCCCTTCCCGGGTTGGTGATTGCAAAGTGCAGCTACTGTGGAGTACTTTGTCAGGGAGTGTGCGGTGTGTCTTCTCTCCCTCTCACTTATGTTAGAGTAGGGCAAGGTGGGGAATGCTTTCATTTAGAGGCTCACCATCTCTCCTAAGTAACAGCCTCTTCACTAAGATCTAGGACTCAGTCCTTTGCACTGTTTTTTTCAAAAACTGATTTGATCAGGTTACTTCCTTACTTAGGAACCTTTATTGATTTCTTATTACTTCTAGACCAGAATCCAAGATCATTGAGATATATGAGATCCTTTATCATATGCTTCAGCCTTCCTCACCACTTACCTGCTCAGCCCACCATACCCCCTTCCGGCCACACCGCATTTCTCATCTCTCAAATGTCCTAGGCCTTAGGAAAGCTCCTGCCTTTATCCATGTTTCCCTCTGCCTGAAGGGTTATATTTACCCTCCACTTCTCTCTCTACCTTAGTAGAGAGAGAAGTTTCCCTTTAATGCCTACTTCAAATGTTCACCCTTAGTAAGCTTTTCCTTGATTCCCCAGCTAGCGTGTTGCTTTGTTTATATCCCTTTTGGATCACCTTTTGGATCATGCTGTTCTGGAATTGTGTATGCGTCTTTTTTTCTTTGTATACTTAGCTCAGTTCTCTTCATTGTTTAATAAATATTTGTTCAGTGAATGAACATGAATGAATGTCCTGTGAATTTTGGTTTCTATTACTTAATGCTTAGCTTTAAAGGAAGTGCATTAACTTTAGTCAGTTGTGGCATATTGATAGGTCAGCCCTATCCATTTTCAGCTGCAGGTCTTGGCATATTTTATAAAATAGTTTTAAGAAGAATATTGTAGATGATGTGAGCTTGTGGCTATTTGCATTGAAGTTTAGTGTTTTTCTTGCTATATATTTAAAAAATGCCCACTGATCTTAAAATTCCCTTTTAAAGTATCCTCTGTCTATAACCAGGTAGGAATTATGTCACTTGAATTCCTTTTATCAGGACATGTTCTTCTCTGTAAGTGATACTGTGTAAAATGAATAAAACAGATTTTAGAAAAGTAGTTAAGCAGTTCGTGTACATCATAATTCTTGGGAGCTTTTAGGGCTCTTGAATTCTCCATGTTTTTAGAAAAGACTGTTGTACTTTAAGGATATATTGTTAATATCCCATAAGATGTCTGACAGGAGAACGTTTCTCTACTGTAGGCAGGGAGTGTTAATCAGAATCATTTGTAATGTGCCCTATGAAGAAAGGACTCCTTGAGTTCTTTGGAAAAATGTTTGGAATAGAATTACATCCCTATTGCTGAGTAGAACCAGTTGTGATTTTCCTTTGACAATAATGATGAATATATAAAAGACTGACATTCTTCTCACATGTGTGATGTTGGGAATGCAAGGTATATTCAAAAGTAAACATTTGTGGCCAATTTTTTTGGCTCAGATTACTATGACATGGAATCCATGGTCCATGCAGACACAAGATCATTTATTCTGAAGAAGCCAAAGCTGTCTGAGGAAGTAGTAGTGGCACCAACCCAAGAGTCGGGGATGAAGACTGCAGATACCCTTCGGGTACTTTCAGGACACCTTATGCAGACACGGTAGATGGTTTCTTTTTCTTGTGTAGCTACTTTGTGTGATTAGATAATGCAGGTTAGTTCCCAGCTTCCCTCCTTTCCCACCCCAACACCCATATAGAGTGCTTTTATTCGCTCAGTAGTCAGCTCATGAATAGTTAGCCAGATTCAGTTTCTAAAAATTCCAGTTCATCTTTCTTATTCAGAAATCTATTAACCTTCAAAGAAAAATTTTCTCAGTGTACGATTTAACTCCATTGATAAGATTCTTGTCTTTATGCACATCCAGGAAATGAAATTTTAAAAGCCAAGTGATCATAATTAGGGAATCTCTCTGCAGAGAGTTAGACAGGGTGGGGAGATTCTTCCCTTAGAAAATGGACTGTGTGTTCTACAAAGGTACAAATGTATAGATAATAAAATTAGTGTAAATGTAAGACTGCTGGCCCTTGTATTCTGAGCATCGATGCTAATTTTTTTGTTTTTTCCATGTTGACCCTATGAGGATCAAATGGACAGTGTGGTCAGGGTTGAGGGAAGATTGTCCTTAGTAAGTACAGACTGGAGAGTCACTGTTGATGATGCCACAGTGACAGGCCGTGGCTATAGTGTGTTAGCAGGAACACACTAATGCTGTACCTGGAAGTCCTACCGAATCTTTTTTATTGAAGCAAACGCAAAGCAAGGGAGCGATAGTTCTACTGAAGATCACTTTAGGAGGCTCAGCATTTTGTGTTTGTTTCCCTAATTCTATGGTATTTTTTATCTGTCTGGCAGAGATCTTGTACAACCAGATAAACCTGCAAGTCCCAAGTTTATAGTGACGCTGGATGGTGTCCCCAGCCCCCCAGGATACATGTCAGATCAAGAGGAGGACATGTGCTTTGAAGGAATGAAACCCGTAAACCAAACTGCAGCCTCAAACAAGGGACTCAGAGGTCTCCTCCACCCACAGCAGCTACAGTTGCTGAGCAGGCAGCTTGAGGACCCAAATGGTAGCTTTTCCAACGGTGTGTTGAGAGCTCAGATTTCCCCTTCTCAGGGTGTGCTGTTGTTGTGAAGGGAATCTTTGACTTGTTTCTCTACCTTGAATGAATATTGGTTAGAGGCCTTGCTTTTATTTATATTCAACAGTGGCCTTTTATCTTCTAGACAGAAGCACCAGTTAAATTTCAGACTGTTACTCCTGGATATGCTTCATAGGTGGGCTGTTATTCTAGTGCTAAAATGGAGTTCAGCCATGGAACCTAACAGTGCCTCTTAATTATGCTTGTTCAAGGATGAACCATCATTCTTGATGCCTTGTTTACCTTTTTTCCTCTGGAAACTACACTGTTACTTTCACCTTATACCAGCAACAGTCTTTTGTAATTAACTTGAGAGAAAAATGAATTTGGGTTTTCATGCTATTTCTCTCAGTGAAGTTTCTTTGAAAGGACTTTCTCACCTAATCTGTCAAGATACTTGGAAGTGTAAGAAAGAACCTTGTACTTAACATTGAAGAGTAATACTTAGCAGAATTCACGTGAATGCAATTCAGATAGCGCCATGCTTTGAGGCAGGTGATGTTTCTTATCACCGCTGCTTCTCTTGCTGGGTATCAGTGGCAGCTACAAGACCACTGTCATCTTCATTCATGACAGAGAATGGTAATTACGTTTCTCATATCTGAAAAAAATTTTAGAAACACATCTTCATTGGCAAGGTAGATAATTACTGAATCTTATAAATGAACAGATTCAAAGAAAAACAGTATTGGATTTTGAAGTTTTTTCCACGTAATCCTCTTCTTGGCAGAGATACGAACATGTATTGAGTATCTTTTCCAGTCACTAAAAATATAATAGACTTTCGGGGGAGATCAAGAGTTGGTGAAGAGTTACCAGTGTTAGCTTTAACCTGAGTGCTTTTCCTTCCATGAAATAATGTCATAGTTTTGATTAATGGAGAGAATTGAAAATCTCATCAACAGGAAGAAACGTTTACAAATAGTAACAAGGGAAGAACTGCAGGAGTCAGGCAGTGCAGATTTCTTAGCCTTGAAAATATTTTGTCTATAATAAGAAAATTCTTGTAGTTTTTACCATTCTTGGTTTTCGATTTGATAGCTTCATAATTTGGTCTGTTAGGATCTAATTTCATTTACATGTAGATGTCTGTGTTTAGACTATATTGGTATATATGTAGTAGCAGTAACACTATAAATAACAAGTTAGTAAAAATTCTTGCCTACATTATGCAAGTGCCAGGGCCATTGTGGAGACAGCTGTGGTGAGTGGGGAGCCTCTTTCCCCCCTTTTTTTTTTTTGAGACAGTCTTACTTTGTTGCCCAGGCTAGAGTGAGTGCCGTGGTGTCAGCCTAGCTCACAGCAACCCTAATCTCCTGGGTTCAAGCCATCCTACTTCCTCAGCCTCCCAAGTAGCTGGGACTACAGGCATGCGCCACCATGCCCCACTAATTTTTTCTATATATGTTAGTTGGCCAATTAATTTCTTTCTATTTATAGTAGAGACGGGGTCTCGCTCTTGCTCAGGCTGGTTTCGAACTCCTGACCTCGAGCAATCTGCCTGCCTCAGCCTCCCAGAGTGCTAGGATTTACAGGCATGAGCCACTGCACCCGGCTTTCCCTTTGCTTTGACTGTGGACTCTCAACATTTCACTGCTGCTCAAGGGTGACATGTATATAACATCAGGACATGAGTGTGGCTGGAGAGACTGCTGTGTAACAGTCACCAGGAGTCTCTGGCCTTTATACCTTTTCCCCTCCAAGCAGGGAGTTTGAAACTTTGTAATTGCTTTTGGTTGGTTTTTTGGCAGATTATTTCCAGGACACTGCAATAGCAACATCTGTTTCAAGTTGCCACCTGTCCGTCCCCCCCCACCCTCCACCACGTTATATGGCAGCACAGATTTTATAGCTTTCAATGAAAAGTAAATTTGCCTCTTCAAAACTTAAGGGAGGCCAGGTGTGGTGGCTCACGCCTGTAATCCAGCCTGAGCAAGAGCGAGACCCTGTCTCTACTATAAATAGAAAGAAATTAATTGGCCAACTAATATATATAGAAAAAATTAGCTGGGCATGGTGGCGCATGCCTGTAGTCCCAGCTAGTCGGGAGGCTGAGGCAGGAGGATTGCTTGAGCCCAGGAGTTTGAGGTTGCTGTGAGCTAGGCTGACTCCAGGGCACTTACTCTAGCCTGGGCAACAAAGCGAAACTCTGTCTCAAAAGGAAAAAAAAAAAAAAAACACTTAAGGGAAAGTTTTTATAGCTTATGAGGTAAATGTCAGCTGTGGAAAACCAGAGGCATGGCCTTTGTGTGTCTGACTGAACATTTCTATCAGGAAGGTAAAGTTTCCTTTTAAAGTGTTAAATTCTTTAATATTGTTCTTGAGTACCTTGCTACTTTATTCCATTTTCCAACTAGGCTTCTCTTGAGTATTCTCTCAGTCTTTCATTTGTGCTGGGTTCTCGTGCGTATACCCTAGTCTAATTTATGTTATATAGGAGGAGGAGGGCAAGGCATTTTCTCTGCAGGGATGACACAAAAAAAGGTTTAAAAGTAAGGAAAATGCCCTCCAGTCCCATCAGATTTTCTTTGGAACTGAGCTAAAATAATTATTTATTATCTTTAAGTAGCATAGAAAATGTATGTATCAGGCATGGTCATAATAGCTCTTTGATGATGCCCCTATCTGGGCTGTGTGACCGGATTTATCTACCTTGTTCTCCTGTAACGAGGATAGAAGTTGGGTCACTGGAACAGTAAGTACTCATAGTACTGCTAGCTGCTGCTGTTGTTAGTTTACAATTAGTTGTTGCCTGTTTTTGTTTTTGCTTTTTTCCTTAAGAGATAGGGTCTTGTTCTGTCACCCAGGCTGGAGTGCGTTGGCATAATAATAGCTCACTGCAACTTGAAACTCCTCGGTGATCCTCCCACCTCAGCCTCCTGAGTAGTTAGGAGTACAGGCATGTGCTAATTCTTTTGTAAATATGGGGTCTCACTATGTTGCCCAGGCTGGTTGCCAACTTGTGACCTCAAGTGATCCCTCGGCATTGGCCTCTCAAAGTGTGGGATTACAGGCATGAACCACTGTGTCTGGCCAGGATTGGTTGTTTTTCATTCTTCTTTCCATTTAATCATCAGGCTGTAAGCATTATTTTCTCTTTGTATAGGTGAAGAAACTGAAGTACAGAGAGGTTCGGTAATACTTTCCAAACTAGCTAAGCTACTGAGTTGCAGAGCCAGATTTGAACTGCCTGACCTCAGGCAAGAGGACTAGAAGAATAGGTTGAAGTGCTATTTGTTGTCATAAACATGCATGTGAACCATAATATATAACACCTATGATGCTGGGGCTTTTTTGGCTGGGGTGTCTCAGGCCAGAAATTGGCAGCTGATCATGGCCCTTGTTTTTTTCAGTGTTCTATATTTGAATTAGTTGGTGACATTGAAAATTTAAATGTCGTATGAAAAGGCAGTTTTTTGGCTTACCGAAATGAGAGATAACCTGGCAACACAGGTACCACTTTCCTGTGTCATAGTTGATGATGTAATTGGATGTGACACAGTGAATGATGTGAGTGGGTGTGCTCTGTGCTTTCCAGGTTGCTGTTCCCCACCTGTCACTTTCTGCAACCCAGCCAGTCTTACGCAGTTAGGTGAACTATCTTCCCCCCATAGGTAATGGCATTTGTGACCCATTGTAGGCAAAAGTGTCTTTCCTCTTTTTAGACATTGCTGTGAGTTTAGCACCGGCACTTAGAAAACTGAATATACTCAGCAAGTGGGAACACTTTTGTGTGAGTTTTACTATTCATAATCTTGCTGAATATGAGAATTAGTTCACATTTCCTTATCACCCTATTTGTGTTTTCAGTTTCCATTTAATTTTATTGGTTCCCTCGCTTTTATATTTAATTCATTTCTGAAATAATATTGAGATTTAGAATTTCTGGTGAAAACTTTGGCCGTAGTTAGAGAATCACTGTCCGCTTTCCTTTTCACAATGAGAACTGTAGTCTCTTTCCTAGTAATCTTTTGTAGGATTCTGTTATCAGTGTTGGTCAGATTATTTGGGCTTGCTTATTTTATATGGCTGTAAACTTAACAGAAGATTTTGAGACTGAGGTTTGAAGGAAATCTGTTGAAGGTGCCATGTACTGAATTGATCGTAATTAATGAGATACTTTAATTCCTTTCCTTTTGTAGCTGAGATGAGTGAACTGAGTGTGGCACAGAAACCAGAAAAGCTTTTGGAGCGCTGCAAGTACTGGCCTGCTTGTAAAAATGGGGATGAGTGTGCTTACCATCATCCCATCTCACCTTGCAAGTGAGTAGCATCACACAGATTCTGTATCTTATGGCTTGTTTTTTCTTCTCTGTGGACAACTTTGAGTTTTATAACTAATTGCAGTGATGCCTATCTAATGCCTGCCCCCCAACCCCCCTAGTAATGCCTGCCCCCCAGCCCCCCAAGAGCAGCAAACTTCTGTGGATGTGTGTTTGTTGGGGGAGGAACCTTCTTTGTGCTTCAGATCTGTGATATCTTGATATCTGGGTTGAGAATTCTGTACATTTATAGGAGATGGGTATATGGTAACTGCCCCAATTTTTATGCGTTTTGTTCATGCACATACACAGATTTTGAGGAGTTGGGGGAAAAGTTACAGGAAATGAGAAAATATTTTGGACATGGGTTAACTTTTTCTCAGTGTAATATTTTCTGAGATGGATTTTAGAATATTTATGTGTCTGTGTCTTATAGATGGAATCTCTCCATGTTTTAACTTTTCTTTTTTGCACGGATAAAAGTAGGAGTAATTCTAATTTAAGGAAATTTTGATATGGGAATTATATAGTTATACATTTAAGGAGACCATGGAATGAGTCTTTGTAGCACAAAGACTTGTAGCACAATGCCTTGTAGCACAATGCCTTGCATATAGGATATGCTTAGTGTATTGAAATTACTGCAGAAAATGTAGACCTTACTTATAGAATAAGTGGTGTGATTCTTATCACAAAATAAGCTTTTGCCTTTCATGGTGACTTGGCTTGAGTTGAAAACCTGTGTTACCTCAGGCTTTGGAATAGATGTGAGTGTCCTATTTTGATATCTGCCCGCCTTTAAAATAGAGTACTATATCCTTTATTTTTATCTGCATTTCTCAAAACAAGTAGTGATAAGGTAGGGTAGTAGTAGAGATAAGGAAGCCAGAAGATGAAATATCAATAATATGTGTTTTTTGTTTGTTTGTTTTGTAGAGCCTTCCCCAATTGTAAATTTGCTGAAAAATGTTTGTTTGTTCACCCAAATTGTAAATATGATGCAAAGTGTACTAAACCAGATTGTCCTTTTACTCATATGAGTAGAAGAATTCCAATACTGCCTCCAAAACCAGGTTAGTGACTTTTAGTACACTAATATATTTGGGTAAAAAATAGGAAATGACATTTTATGAATGTAAACAGAATTGACAAGACAAAAAAAGGAATAGTTTTAGAAATAATTTTGACAGAATCAGTTAATCTAACCAGTGTTTAAAAAGTGTGCCTATCCTATTCTTAAGTATTTTATCTTCACTAACAAATGTATATAAACTTTACCATTCTAACTTAAAAATAGTTCTCACTTCTATAAAAATATCAGTAGACTGCATTAAAAATTATTTTGCCAAACAGATTTGATCAATCTGTGTTCTTATTTTTGTTAGCAGTTACAACAGCAATACCACCTTCTAGTAGTCAGCTCTGCCGTTACTTCCCGGCATGTAAGAAAATGGAATGTCCCTTCTATCATCCAAAAGTAAGAACTTTTATTTTCTTAAAAACCAATTTAGTGATAACTTCTCCATTCTGAGAAGTAGAAAGTCATCAGCAAATTGAAGATCTTGCTTGCTTCTCCTCCCCCCTCCCCAGATTAACTGTTTTTTGTCAGAGTTAATTTTATGGTCTTTAAGACCTTGTTCCTTAGTTGTCATTGAGCCTCTGGTCCCTTAGGCCAAGTTTGAAACTATTTAATGTGTCAGTTTCTAAGCACTCTTGGGAGAGAGGCGCATCTTTACTAGTCATATTTTCTACTCTTCTCTGTTCCTGCACATGTGGGCATGTGGGTGGTTGGTTTGGTTCATGCCAGAACTGAGATGATGAAATCCAGTAGATACTACTTAATACCTTTAAACTGTACTGATGCTTTTAATTGTCTGTGTCGTAAAGAATAATTGGTATATCTTCAGCTGCATTGTTGCTCCAAGTGAATGATCTCCTTTTTGCATAACAGCCTAAAGACCTATGAAAGGCCTTTCACTTGCCCCAGGTGTACCTGGGCATAGATGAGGATACTTGGAGTGTAATAAGGGATGAGTATCACATTGATGAGAAGATTATATTGTATGCTTAAGCTTCCTTTTTTTTCCATTAAGCTTCCTTTTGAAATTTCACTTGCTATTACTCTTTGCTAGGATTGTCTTTCAAGGGGAGGTTTCTTTTCCAAGGCTTCAGTAGTATTAAAATGGACATTACAAACCAGATCTCCTACCTTGTTAATGGCTAGGATAGACTGGTCATTGTCATCTCAGACTGTTGTGTTTATTTGTATTAGCCTTGCGATGTTGCTGAAGCTCTGTTCGCTATTTAGCACTGTAGGTTTAACACTCAGTGTACAAGACCAGATTGCACGTTTTACCATCCCACCATTACTGTACCACCACGACATGCCTTGAAATGGATTCGACCTCAAACCAGGTAAGGATTAAAATTAATTTTTCTAGTGTCACTTCTAATTCTTTATTAATATGTAGTTTCTTAATTTATAAGCATATAAATTTGGGGGAAACTGTTACTTTTTTTTCTTTGCTGTTTAATTTGACAAGGGTCCTTTGGCAAAATAATTTACTACATGGACTAAACTTTGTTTTATCCAGTGATTACCTTTTTTTACTTATTAGATCATTTCCAGATCACATTTTCTTTTTTCTTTTTTTTTTTATGGTCATATACTATACAAAAGCATCTACTAAGGCCAGCAGGAGTTTGTGTATATACTGCTTATGAATCTCTAATTAATTTTATTAGATATTAGCAATTATAAAATATTGAAAGGAAGTTTCAGAATATTTTAGTATGGCATATAAATTTAATTACATGTTATCTTTTATCTACATATATATTTTAAAAAATATGATACAGCAAACTTATGGCCAAATATTCCTTGTCCAAAAATATTCAACTTTTTAGCTGAGGTATATGGTATATACATGGATGCAAAGCAAATAATTTTTTAAATGTTTGGTTCTGTTTATTCAGCGAATGACACCCAGTCCTGCCAGGCAGAAGATCATGCAGTTTGAAAGTTTCCATCTACTGATGAAAGATATTCTACAGAACTTGTCAAATCTTTGAAACTTGGAATATATTGCTTTCATAATATGAAGTTTATTGCCTATCTGAAGTGTCTGATTTTTCAAGTTTGTAAGTTTCTTAAGTGGTTTTAACATTGGGTGTTTTTTGTTTTGTTTTTACTATGAAAAGACAGTTTAAGGAAAGGCTAAATTCTATTAAAACATTTGAGGCATGTTTGTACACTGCTGTTTTAAGTATCAGCATTTATAATGTGACGACATTGTTAGTAATGGTACTACAGTTTAGGGCTACATGGTTGGTAGGGGTATAGAGAGAGAAGTGAGGCAAGTCACATTATTCTAAAAGTTGAATTTGCTGCTTTCACTTTTCCCAAAGATTATATAATGTTCTCATAATCCACCATGAAAACAGGAGTGGCTACAATTACTGAGGCAGCTTAAAATAGTCATTCAATTCTGCTTTTTAATTTTTAAGCGAATTTAGTTTGAAAAGCATGACAATGCAGGCCTCTTGGGCCGAGAGCTGCTTTGGTAAAGTTTCCCAGTTTCCTTTCCTTCTGTGACAGGATGAGTGAGGTGGGTATGGAGGATGGGGACAGCTGGAATGGCAAGTGTGAAAAATAGGAACAAGTCCTTACAGTGCTCTCATTTACTGTTGACATATGCTTTTTCAATAAATTTTTTGGGGAACTACATTATCACAAAATTATACAAATTTTTTACAAGTATATACATAAGGTATCATAAAACAGACTTTTAACTCACAAGGTTATAAATATACATATATATTCTCACATTCTGAAAAATAACATTCTCAGAAATAGCTTCACAGAAAATATACTTCATTACTACTGAAGATAATTTTTGAAATGTAAAAATTAGATTCAAATAGTATATTTTAAATGACAGACTATAATTACCGAGATCAGATGGGTAAACTGCAAAATAGGATGAAACTTTTGGCCTCCTTTATCAGTTACAGAGTTTTGTGTGTATGGTTTTTTAAAAGTGTTAAGGCAAGAAGTGTCAAATCCTTTCGAGTTAAATAACAAATGGATTACTGATTTCAAAGACTTGATGTATAGTAGTGTTAAAAATGAAAGCTTAAAAGGTGGTTAGAAAAGAGTGAATTAATGCAAAAGGGATAAGAATGACTAAAACATTCACAGGACCAAATTAACTGTAAAAAAAAAAAAAAAGTTCATTGACTTGCTTAGTTATATACCCAAATGATAATAAACCCATATATGTAAAAGTTCATGTTTAAGATCATAAAGCCAGCAGTCTGTTTTGTGGCTATTGCTCTTCCATTGGGAGAAGAACCAGTCATTAAACCATTTGGTAAGTTGCATTTTGCTGTGCTGATCCCAAAGTAAAGACTTGAAACACGAGAAGCAAAGACAAAAGCACACAAGAGCATAAGGCTGTTGTGTTAGGCTTGGGTGAAATGACAATTCCACTTCGTTTTAAAAGTTTACTCAATTGAATTTAAGGCGTTTGTTTATTCCAGTGTTACTTAATTGAGGTGCTTTGCATCTCTGCAGAAGAAAGTTTCTGACTTGTTTAAATTTCCAGAAACAATAGACTTTTAGCTATCATTATAAATGGTGTTATATATAGGTACATTCTCATAGTTTTCACTATAAAGAACATAAATGGGAAACTAGGTCTTAATTTAGTTCAGCCATTTTACAAGGAAATGAAATGCTAAAATCTGATTATTTTTTGCTATTTAATGGACATTGCCTGGAAACAGATTTAGGAGTTTACTCTCTCAGTCACTATGGTGTATGGGCAAGCTAAGGTTGACCCTTAAACATTTGTTGGATGGGTAACTTGGTATAAAATGAACCACCACAATAAAATGCTCACAAAAAAAAGAAAGGGAACAAGCATAGTTGGCGATGTGAAGTGCGTGGTACAAGAGTGCACAGTGTGCTTTGGCATGCATTTTATACATAATGAATGGGACTAAAGGTGCCAGAAGCCCCAGGTTACATATTTAGGAGCTTAGATACTGCACACAAAAATAATTGTCTGGGTTAAAAAAAAGTAAAGGGAGATTCTATATGTATGGCCTATCACATTTCATCACCTTCCCTTAGTTGATGGCTGATACAACAAGCTGGTCATGGGATGACTACTTACCGGTCAGCGGCATGACCATTACTTGTGAAACTACAGAAGTGATTTAAGGCTGACTTAGCAGGTTAGCCACTTTGAAGGACAAAAATGTAATGGAAGCAGTTTTATCCTAAGTAGTTTACTTGCTTAAGATTATGGAGTTTCTACTTACACTGTAATGGAAATAGAATTTCTCTGTAGCCAAAAGGTGGCAAACTTGACCCAGAAGGAAAACTTAAAACTCCAACAGGTTCAAATTTGAGTATTTTTTTGTTTTTATGGGAGCGTGGTTCAGGGGGGCTTTTCTCCTTTAATTTATTGACTATCTCTTTATAAAATACATAAATAGAAATCTAATAGTAATGTATTCCAAAATTTGGCATAATTCAAGAGAATACATTGAAGTGAATAAAGAAAGTACCATTTCATGTTTCAAGCTTCTTACCAACCCTTAATCAGCCCTTCAGCCACAGCTATTCAGAGCTTTAAAACTGACCAGGTTCAATCACTGGTTAGATTTTCTGTGACATAATTTAGTTATTTCTGTTTTTAGTATTCACAAAGTATTGGACACAGAAAATAGATACTAGGAATCTTCATATATCTTGTTAAACCAAACAGGATTCCAGAAATCTGAGGGGATGGGATCTGTTATGCTAGAAAGATAACACATTAAAATAAAAATCTGTAAGACTAATAGAGCATCTTAAACTTCATACTTAGAAAAATATATTTTTAAATAGCAGTCTACATAATTTTCAATCTTCAGGAAACTACAGATAGGCTAAACAGCAAATTCCTGAATGATGAGTACTGATCTTTGGCAGCATTTAAAGTGAAAAGGAAAAAGGATCTAAGAATTCAGCCCTAATCCACTTAAAAGGAAGTAATTGACAAGTTTTACAAATGGATCTGGGTTTATTCATTTTGGAAATTAGCCTATGGGGTGGCACACATCTCACTAAACAAATTTTCCCAGTAGAAAAAAGCTATAAAAATTTTCTTCCAACAGTGATTAAATTGTATAACTTTGTAAATGTGAATTTAACACTTTTGTTTACATGTTTAACAAATATTTATATATTAGACTACATCTTTAAATATGCAGTATTCTCTTGCCATTAAATACTATTGCTGTCTAAAACCTTAACAGAACTGTCCACCATTGGAAATGATTGTTCATCATACTACTTTCCCATTAGTGAGGCTACAGTTATGTTTTTAAATTTTCAGTTATAAAGATGGCTTCTGAACAGAAAAGGGTTGACAGCTCAGAAATGAAGATGTAGCAGCCATATACTGACAACTTTAGATCTGTTCCTGAATTCAAAACTGCCAGGAAAAAATGTCCTTAATTTAAAAAAGGACTTTATTAGCGCTTAGGAAACATTTTCCAGGAAAGCTTGTGTCTGTTTCCTTAGGGAAAAATGCTTGCCTTTTAAAAACTGTGATCCTTTACGGTGATTGTATTTTTCTTTTCTTTATGGAAATGCAAGGATAAAATATTTCATTAAACAATGAACCTTGAAAATATAAATGCTAAAGAGAAGCACAGTTTTGCTAAAGAGATAATGAAAACTGTTCAACCTGGGTTACGTTTTGGGTTTTTTTTTAAAGGTGTGCTGTCCCTAAATCTCCTCAGCAGATCTGCCAAAATTTGCACACTCAATAAAGGGGTGGGGAACAGGCTGGCTTTTACCATCAAGTATTCAGTCCTTCCTTGAAATGTAATTATCTGGCAGTGTATGGATTATGGACAGTTACCCAGTGCATACAGCAAACATTTGAACTCATTTCACCCTTCTACTATCTTGATGATTCTGGGCATTTCTCCCTGTTACAATCTGGGGTTAGCACCACTTGACCATGCAGGGTTTGGTTTGGTTTTTTTCTCTGTAATTCTGGTCTCTCAAGGCTGTCAATTTGTAGAGTCGTCTTAGCATCCGTCTCAGTGAGGCATATGTACGCATTTCCAGACAAATAAACTGTAATCAGAGAAGAAAATTGCAGGCAGTTCATTACATTTCTAGATTTTCAGAATAGTTTAATGTTCTTCAGTTAAAACAGTTGAGATTTCAAATTATACATGTATAAAATTTTTCTCCATTAACTCCTTTTCTGTATTTCATAAATATATGATTCCAAGGAACCATCTGGTTATGCAACCCCCTGATAATATTGCCTGAGTTCATAAACCAAAGCTGTAGGCATTGATATTACATTAAATCTCTTCACTTTTATAGTAAAAGATAGTATGCTCTTCTTGGGCTGAGAAAATTACTAACCTGCAGTCATCACCTCCAGCACTAATAACATGTCGATCACCACTGGTAAATCGAATATTTGTCACATGGGGTGAATGACCCAAGAACCTTTTGTGCTTTGCCTAAAAAACAATGACAAAGAGCATTTGAAGCACACATAAGTGAAAGATACCTAGTAGGAACTATAATCTCTATCACAAGAACTGCGGAGGCAGCAGGGAGTTGGGACCACTGCCAATGATTGAAATGCTTTTACAGAGTTAATGGATCTGCACTTAACACAAACCAGGTTATTTGGGCAGTCAGATGTCTCCTGGTACTCTGAAAATTTTTCTCTGAGGAAAAGCATTTGAAATCTGGTAACTGATTAGTTTGGTAAAAAGGTAATCACAGCTTTATTAGGATAGTTTCCAAAGATGGTATTATTACTGAAATATGGTATTACTGAAAGGAGGAAATTTGTTTTTAATAGCTTTTATTTCAGGGTAATGGGTTTAGAAAGTTTGGGAAAAATTTAGAAATACAAATTTAAAAGTATTTTCAAATTAGGACAAAATATGTTAAATATTAACTTATGTAGGAAAAAGTACTAGTGATCAGACATCAAAATTAGAAGTAGAAAGATATACTACACAAAAAAACTTACAAATTTTTCTGGACATGGGAAGTCAAATAACTTAACCATGCCAAAGTCATCTCCTGTTACAAGGCTGATTCCCGAATGAGATACACAGGCACAGTTGATGTCGGCTTTCTCTGTATGTCTGGACCAGATTCCCATAACTTCCTCTCCTAGAATACTAGATGGATGGAACAAAAGAAAATCCACTGC